AACACAAGACACAAATTCAAGGTTTCACGGTGTGTAACTTCGAACGTTACACAAAGTGTAATATAAAATGGGATCACTTAGATTACTGGCAGCATTGTAAATTAAATCAACATTTTTTCACCAGTGTGATAATCAACATGATTTTATACTGTCCGGCTAAAATATAATATACCCTTTGAGAGTTTCTATCTTTTAAGGATAAAAGTAGAGTCATTTTGTCCCAATGGGACATTATGACTAAAATAAATTTTATCCCAAAGAAATTGAAGGGAAACAATATCTATAAATATATTATAACTATCAAAAAGTACGAATTTAAGTCAAAAAATTTATTTTTGACTAAAAATGAGTTGGCTTACCAGCCATCTCCACTGCGCATCATTTTTACTTGGTTGCGCCGTGTGCTTGCTTGTTGTACGCTTGTGGATTTTTATTAACCATTAACAAAAAATTATCTCTACAACTGGTGTTCAGGCTTTTGAAGTCTCGCGTAAAATCCATAATTCCACCAGGAGATTTAGTCTGCAATAAATACTCAGTTTACGGGATATTATTTATTGGAGTCAGATATTGAGGACATTAGCCTCAACATATTGGTGACCCGCCTTTAGAACACGCACCATTTCTCAGCAAACTTAAACCCGCCGACGACCAACAAAGTATTTATAAACAATTGTCTACGTAAGTTACTCAATTTCTGTTGACCGAATACCATCAGCAACAGCCTACTCTGGGAGAGAACAAACCAACTTCCAGTTGAGGAGGAAATTAGGGAAAGGTGTTAGAAGTGGATAGGACATACATTGCGAAAGTAATAAAACTGTATCATGAGGCAAACACTAACTTCTAATCTCAAAGAGAAACGGAAAAGAGGAAGACCTAGGAACACATTGAGTTGGGAATCGGAAACAGACATCAAAAGGATGGATAACAACTAGAAAGGATTGCTCAGGACAGAGTTGGATGGAGAATGCTGATGGGCGGCCTATGTTCCTTCACGACGTGGGGTAACAGGTGTTAGTATGTAACTTACAATCGAGTTTTATTTTTGGAAAGTGTATCACTCTCGATTTGAAGTTTCGTAAAAAAAAATGAAAGTAGGAGCTTTTAAACAACAAAAGGCTATAACACTTAAGATTTTCTTTTCTTGAATTCTGATTTCGCATATTATGTGAATAATTCGTATTCATAACTCGGTCATAATTATTCTAGATGTAGCTCTTTCGGTTAGTTGATCAACTCTGGGAATCTTCCGTTTTATTTCCGATCACCAATTGTTATCACTTAGTAAATAAAGTTGATCATAGATTAGGACAGAACAACACAACTAGGTAAAAAAGGTATTATGTGACTAATTGATTGATAATCTTACAGTACAAACTTACAGCACGAATCACTATTTTTGGTTAAAATCGTCCCTGTTATTTTTGTTTTCTTTATGCTTAAACTTTATTAGAAATATTTCTACAAATTGTTGCCTTCAGCTTATTTAGTTGGATTTTAGAAATGGTATATTGGTTATTTAACTCCGCCTGGAGCCCCTCTGGGGCTACTGCCGGTCTCAAGCCCGGATAAAGGAGGGTTGGGCATGGGGTTAGCGAACCCATCCTGTAAAAAACTAACTCGCTAAGAAAACGCTAACGAGAAAATATTAGTTATTTAGTTCGATTCATTTAAGTCACTCATTATTTTATTTATTATTATTATAAGCTTTATTCAATATTGTATTTTTGGTACACTATATAATTCTCAGCACAAAGTATTTCAAACTCCGCCTGGAGTCCCTCCGGGGGCTACTGCCGGTCCCAAGCCCGGATAAAGGAGGAGGGTTGGGCATGGGGTTAGCGTCCCCATCCCGTAGAAAACTAACTCGCTAAAAAAACGCTAACCAGAAAAAATTATTCAAACCTTTTAAACTCTGCCCTGGGAGTCAGAAGGTCTTCATTTAGAAGAATTATGACGCCTCATGATGAAAGCCGAATTCCTTCGGAAGTTACGAGGCCGATGCCCCTTCTGACAACCAGAGCGACCATTTATTTAGGTACATGGAATGTTCGTACAATGTGGGACACCGGGAGAGCCTTCCAAATTGCTGCAGAAATGAGAAGATACAACCTAGAGGTACTTGGGATCAGTGAAACACATTGGACACAAGTTGGACAACAACGACTAACTACAGGAGAGCTCCTGTTATACTCCGGCCATGAAGATGAAAATGCACCACATACACAAGGAGTTGCATTGATGCTGTCCAAACAAGCGCAAAATGCGCTTATAGGATGGGAATCTCATGGACCAAGGATCATCAAAGCCTCGTTCAAAACAAAGAAAGAGGGTATTTCAATGAACATCATCCAATGCTATGCGCCTACCAACGACTACAATGAAGACGCTAAAGATCAATTCTACAATAGGCTGCAGTCAATCGTCGAGAAGTGCCCAACAAAGGACCTGACCATTCTGATGGGAGATTTCAACGCCAAGGTTGGAACGGACAACACTGGATATGAAGACATCATGGGACGACACGGACTGGGAGAAAGAAACGAAAATGGTGAGAGATTTGCAAATCTATGTGCCTTCAATAAACTGGTCATAGGCGGCACCATATTCCCACATAAACGCATACACAAAACCACATGGACTTCACCGGATCACACAACCAAAACCAAATCGACCATATTTGCATCAACAAAACGTTCAGGAGGACTATAGAGGACGTGAGAACCAAGAGAGGAGCTGATATAGCATCAGATCATCACTTGCTGGTCGCCAAGATGAAATTGAAACTCAAGAAGCACTGGACAACGGGGCGGACAATATCACAAAAGTTCAATACGGCCTTTCTTCAGGATACTAACAAACTCAACAAATTCAAGATAGTCCTCAGCAACAAGTTCCAGGCCTTTCATGATCTACTCAATGGAGAAGGAACTACTGTGGAGAGCAACTGGAAGGGGATCAAAGAGGCAATCACTTCAACATGTCATGAGGTCCTGGGTCACAAGAAGCACCATCACAAGGAATGGATCACTGTTGATACACTGGATAAGATTCAAGAAAGGAGGAACAAGAAGGCAGCAATCAATACCAGTCGAACAAGAGCAGAAAAAGCCAAGGCACAAGCTGAATACACAGAAGTAAACAAACAAGTGAAGAGGAGCATCAGAACCGACAAACGTAAATATGTGGAAGATTTAGCAACGACGGCGGAAAAGGCTGCAAGAGAAGGAAACATGAGACAACTGTATGACACGACAAAGAAACTCTCTGGAAATCGCCGCAAACCAGAACGACCAGTGAAAAGCAAGGAAGGCGAGGTAATCACCAACATTGAAGAGCAACAAAACAGGTGGGTAGAACACTTCAAAGAACTCTTGAATCGACCAGCTCCACTGAACCCACCCAACATCGAAGCAGCACCCACGGACCTCCCAATCAATGTTGGCCCACCAACAATTGAAGAAATCAGCATGGCCATCAGACAAATCAAGAGTGGCAAAGCAGCAGGACCGGACAACATCCCAGCAGAGGCACTAAAAGCAGACGTAGCGGCAACTGCAAGGATACTCCACATTCTCTTCAATAAGATTTGGGATGAGGAACAAGTACCAAAAGACTGGAAAGAAGGACTTCTGATCAAAATACCGAAGAAAGGCGATCTCAGCAACTGTGATAACTACAGGGGCATCACTCTTCTCTCAATACCGGGAAAAGTCTTCAACAGGGTATTGTTAAACAGGATGAAGGACTGCGTAGACGCCCAACTTCGTGACCAACAGGCAGGATTCCGTAAGGATAGATCGTGTACAGACCAAATCGCAACTCTACGGATCATTGTGGAACAATCAATTGAATGGAATTCATCACTCTACATCAACTTCATTGACTACGAAAAGGCATTTGATAGCGTGGACAGAACAACACTATGGAAACTTCTTCGACACTACGGCGTGCCTCAGAAGATAGTCAATATCATACAGAATTCATATGATGGATTACACTGCAAAATCGTGCATGGAGGACAGTTGACAAAGTCGTTCGAAGTGAAGACCGGTGTCAGGCAAGGTTGCTTACTCTCACCCTTTCTCTTTCTCCTGGTGATCGACTGGATCATGAAGACGTCAACGTCTGAAGGGAAGCACGGGATACAATGGACATCTAGGATGCAGTTGGACGATCTAGACTTCGCAGATGATCTGGCCCTTCTATCCCAAACGCAACAACAGATGCAGGAGAAGACGACAGTGTGGCAGCAGCCTCAGCAGCAGTAGGTCTCAATATACACAAAGGGAAAAGCAGGATTCTCCGATACAACACAGAATGCACCAATCCAATCACAATTGACGGAGAAGATTTGGAAGATGTAAAAACCTTTACATATTTGGGCAGCATCATTGATGAACAGGGTGGATCTGATGCAGATGTGAAGGCGCGGATCGGCAAAGCAAGAGCAGCATATTTACAACTGAGGAACATCTGGAACTCAAAGCAACTGTCAACCAACACCAAGGTCAGGATTTTCAATACAAATGTCAAGACAGTTCTACTGTATGGGGCAGAAACCTGGAGAACTACGAAAGCCATCATCCAGAAAATACAGGTGTTTATTAACAGTTGTCTACGCAAAATACTTCAGATCCGTTGGCCGGACACTATTAGCAACAACGTACTGTGGGAGAGAACAAACCAGATCCCAGCGGAGGAAGAAATCAGGAAGAAGCGCTGGAAGTGGATAGGACACACATTGAGGAAAGCACCCAACTGCGTCACAAGACAAGCCCTCACATGGAATCCTGAAGGCCAAAGGAAAAGAGGAAGACCAAAGAACACATTACGCCGAGAAATGGAAATAGACATGAGAAAAATGAACAAGAATTGGATGGAACTAGAAAAGAAGGCCCAGGACAGAGTGGGTTGGAGAATGCTGGTCAGCGGCCTATGCTCCATTGGGAGTAACAGGCGTAAGTAAGTAAGTAAGTACAAAGTATTTCAACAAGTTTCCGTTTCTTTCTTCTTGGTCGATCCTGACGATAAATATTGAGTGATCGCCAGTTAGATGTTAGCAGTCCAGTAAATGAACATCTGAATAATGTATATTCTTTTCTCTGCATATTGCCAGCAACCACATTATCTCTTATTGGGCTTTTTGTAACTTTGACAACGAAAAGTTGTACACTTTTCAGAAATGCACTAGGACATGTTATGCGAATAATAAACATAATTATATAATAAAACAAACAAAAATAGATAACTTGTTGAAATATCTAGATGGCAGGAACAGGTAGCCCAGATGCTCAAGCAGGCCGCCGAACATTCAACTCACAACAGATACCAATTACATATTTTCATAAATAACAATAAAATGAGAAAAAGAAAGTTTAAATTAATGAAAATCCCCATAATATATATATAATTAAACAAAGCAGTGTATTACAGGAAATACGTTTAATTAATAAAAAGAAAAGAACAAGGCATTTTATAAAGGTAATTTAATTGCACACATGTGAATGACCAGAGCTTTGGTATAATAAGCATAGAAAATTTAAGCTAATTAAAAATGGAACAGCATATAACGAGAAAACAGAAATCGGAGAAGAACAAAAAGAGAGATGATCAACAAAAAGAAAAAAAGTGAAATAAGATCATGATTTGTGTATGTTAACTAGAGTGGTCATTTAAAGCATAATATGAAATTAGTATATATATGGATAGATACTATGACAGTGAATAAATAAATATTAGAACATATAAACAAATAAATAAAATAAAAACATAAAATGACAAGTTAAAATTCACTGGAACAATATTAGTCAATAAATTAATGATTAAAAATTAACCCTATTGAAGAATGTATAAAATTGCTGAAAGATTTAATCAATGAAAAGAGATGATAAGACAAATCAAATAATAATAATAATGATAGATTTCAATGTAAAGAAAATAAACAGTATTAAACTGCTAATGGATTTGATAAAGATGAATTAGTATTAGTATTGTTATTATCATTATAACATCTATTCGTATATTCATGTAAGGTATTAGTTGATTTAACAATAGGCATAGAATGTTTTGAAATAGTTCTTAATGAACATTCTATTTTTGTTAATTCAATCTTATCATCATTATCAACATTCTTTTATTATTTAAATAATCATAATTATCTTTGATGATAGTTTTTTGAAATAGATGAGAATCAGTTTGCATAATTCGTCGACGAATTTCACGTATTTTCAATTGTAAAGCTTGACGACTAGGGAAGTAACAAGCATAACATTGTTGAAAATGTGTAATCACAGGAACTGGATGTAAAAGTTAAATAAAAACAGGAAAAAAGAAATGAAAAGTTAAGTTAGAAAACAATAACATATGAACACACATGAAAAAATATGTTTCTGATGTAGTACCATTGAATTTTATGTCATACCTACAGAATGTGAAAACCTGGAAGACTCAATAACTAACTGTTATAAGTGGTTTCTAGCTGACATCAATTCGTGATGAAATTCAACTCCAACACAGAAGCCCCAGTCGTTAAAACTGACCATCGTTTAAGAAAAAGTTTCATTATAGAGCTAATACCCGCGCAACAAACGTATAAGCACTTTTAAAATTATATGAAAATAATCATTTTCATTAGATTATCACTTTTCTTTCTCTTAAGAATTTATGATGTACAATAAATATGTATGAATGAACACCAACTCTAGGATGCAGATACATCTAGCTAGTGAGTCCCAAATAGGACGAAATGCGCGTTCTGGATTCCACTGCTAGCCATCATTCATCTCTGCTTATAAATATATATGGTTATGATAACATAAACACTGTACTTGTTTTATAAATACAATTCACATACTTGATGGAAACAAACCATATTCTTGAAACAATTGTAAAACTAATTTACGACGTATATGTAAAACAGATCTTGACTTAATTCCATTTGCTTCAGACAAATGAGAAAGAGTTATCAATGATGAATTTTCACTTGTTTGATGATGAATAATTTTTGGAGCAATGGATGATTTTTAGATAAACGACCATATGAAGAAATACGTAAAGGTGAATTCAATGAATCAGTAGTCCACTTAAATTCTTTGATATTTGGAAAGTTTGGACCAAAAAATACATTATCTTCTAAACATTTATTTGATTTATCCATATTCTGTTAATTTAGTTTAAATAAAACAAACAAAAATGAAAAATTTCAATAGATAAAGAGTTGGATATAATATCGTATAACTTTTAGAACTGATAAATGTTATTATTGTGATGGATGGAGTATGCTGATAAGCGGTTTATGCTCTTCCATGAGGCGTAACATGCGTAAGTAATTGAGTATTATTGTGAATAGGGAGATAGTCGTTTTCAACATTTCAAATGCAAGGGAAAAAAATTTAAAGCTGACATTAGTTAATTATGAAAATTTTTCCTGAAATTAAGCAAAATTTTCATAGAGCCTAATCAAACATAGTAATAATTATATACTCACCGAAGAGTAACTTTAAAAATAGATTTTTTATTTAATTCAAGTAAATATTTGTGACTTTTACAGTTAACCAAATTGAATGATACCAAATAAGAGTTCTATTCTAATCGAAACTCACTGTAGTTACGAAAATGTGAATGACTGAATAAATTTGTAATATCCCAATGAGTAGAAAAATTAGATTTCCTGACGTTTCGTGACACAGTGTAAGCCACTTCTTCTTGTTGTTCCGTTGTACTATTTAAACTTAGATTAATTTTAATTTGGTTATTTCTTCTCTGAACAAGTGGTTTACACTGAATCACGAAACGTCAGAAAATCTAATTTTTCTACTCATTGGGATATTACAAATATATTGATTTATTTGTAACAATCTACTCAATGCTCAGTTTATTCGAAATTATCAAGTCAAACCTTGGTAATGATATCTGTGAATGATTAAATTTCAATTTAATGATTCAGTAATATGGAGCTTACTATTAAAATCTGAAGGTTTTGAGTTTAATCAACTGTAGGATTATGGAGATACAAAAAATGTGTAGGGCGATTATAAATAGTTCTTTTTAAATTCCGTTTATCATTAAAATAACCCTATACATATGCTTATTTCGTTTTTTTATTTCATTATGTTCGATCAATGGAAGCCTATCTACTTATATTTAATTATCGTAATAATGACTCTGAAAATAATACTAACAGAAATTAATGCAACCTTACATGGTGAATATGTAGACAATGAGCTGCATGGGCTACTAAAAATATTTAAAAAACAGTTAAATATTTGTGTAGGATGCAACGGACCCATTGGCTCATTGCAGTCACATTTGTATCATCAAAAAATGTGGACGCATCATACAATCTTTCAGTTGAATATAATCCTGAACAGTAAAAAAGTGTCTGTCAATTAGTAATTAACGCAGATGTGTTGCGAAGCATCAAGCTGTATGGTAAAGAATACACTATTTAGTTTAACCTCGATTGAAAAGATATGATATCTATCATTTTAAAACATGCACTGTATTGTGTTTATGTCAATCTCTTGGCGAATTTAGATTTTGTTTATAAAGTAGTTTGATAAAAAAACTCTATGCCTACAACACTAATAAACAATACGGTGCATTTCCGAAAACAGTACTGCATTGTAAGTAATGCCATCGCTGATCATGCAGTTTTCTCACGTCTTATGCTTCACGTCACTGGCAACTTTGTGACGAAAGCAATCCGTAGTCCTTATTTCCAGAATTATACATATTAGTTTTGCTATACTATACGACAGTTTTTGATCAGTCATATATACTGTCATTATTCAACGAAAGGACTATATACATATTTATATTCCCGTTTTTTCGATTTGTTTCTCGCCTTGAATTTTCAGTCCGAATCAAACATCATGCAGTTTTCTCACGTCTTATGCTTCACGTCACTGGCAACTTTGTGACGAAAGCAATCCGTAGTCCTTATTTCCAGAATTATACATATTAGTTTTGCTATACTATACGACAGTTTTTGATCAGTCATATATACTGTCATTATTCAACGAAAGGACTATATACATATTTATATTCCCGTTTTTTCGATTTGTTTCTCGCCTTGAATTTTCAATCCGAATCAAACATTTTAATAATTCTGAAGAAAATTGTTAGCAAAAAGAAATGGTGATAAAGCGATAGAAGATAATTTATCTTACATGGTAATAATAATAATAATAATAATAATAATAATAATAATAATAATAATAATAAACGGAATAATACCAAGATCATGGAATAAGATGGAGGTTATCAGAATTACGTGGTATATTTGTGCAATACATTTCGAACAATATGATCACATATATACTAATTATGATATATGTGAAAAATGAAAGGTCAATTAGACAAAGATAACGTGAAAGGCACTCTGGATAATAGATCTGTATTAAAAGGGTAGGTTAAGCGCAAGAATAAATTGTTTTTAAACACATAAAAAGGTTTTCAGTTTTCGTATAGCCAAGGCTTCAATAAACATACATGTAAATTGATAGATAAAATCGGATGTGACACAATCGCTTACATGCTGTTTGGGTTTTTCCTGAAAAATGGACCTCGACTTTCCGATAATGATGAGTTGGGCTGCATAAAATTTCCTATTGTTAGCTAGTTTAAGCCTTCATTTCAACATGAGACTGTTCGAGTCACTTCTGAGTGATAGGTTACTATTGACTAGCTTTTCGGGTAACAAACACGTAGTAGGTCCATTCATATTGCTACCTTCCCTAGAATTAGTGAACAACCGTTATTCACCAATGTTTGGGTTTCCCACAATAGTATCGCTAGTACAAATACGATTGCTTTTATTGAATAAGTCCTTTATTGATCCCCTTTTGTACAGTGGCTATTGAAACTAAGATATTGCACAATCCATGTCGGCTTTCATACCATCCAGCATGGTTTTCACATTATTTTCTTTGTTTCCTCTTACCTTTTAATTTGTTTAGTTGACTTTTTGTTTTTCATATATAATGTCTTAACAAGTATATGTATGAGCATATTGTTCCAAATATACCACATAATTCTGATAACCTTCGTCTTCTCATAGCATTATCAAAAAAACTTGTCAGAGGGACTCATTGCTTTAAATATCAAAATCCCTAAGATAGTTACTACCAATTTTTAAGAATAAAAAGTTATCATGATACAACATATAAAATATTTAAAAATAGAATAAAAACAATTAAGTAACCAAAATCTACTTACAAGTTTTTTGGGTGATAAATTTTGATGAATATTTTCCGAATCACTAAGATGAGAACTTGGAGAAGTAAGCGTACATAATTGTTGACTAGTGTCTATATTAAGTGTTGGAGTAACTGAACCAGCTAAGATAAATAAATTCAGAAAAAAAAGATTGAAAAATAGAATAATAATAATGTTTAAATAAACGAATTGCAAGGAAATTATAGTTTAGTGTTAAATGGTTGAAAGAGATCAGGTAGCAAGTTCTGAAAATATATATCGTCAGCAAAAAGTATATACAACTAATAAGGAGCAGATTCTCACCAACCATATAACATTACATATCGTGTATGTGATGTAGATTCACGTAACCTAGTGACTACATTGGAACTTGATCCTTAGAATGAAATCAGAGTTAAAGACTCCGTAAAAATATTACTGGTCACTAGTCAGTAATCAAACAGGATAGAATTGTACGTTAAATATAGCATATTATCAAAGAAAATGAAGTTAACTACTGATTTGTAGATTTCACTTGTAAAAAAAACTAGCATGCATTTTACAGATAAATGGATGAGTAAATGAGACTAAACAGTGTGGAACGTCTTAAATGGTATAGTCGCTTAACTTGCCACGCTTTATTTCTGTATAAAAATAGTAAGATTTCAATAAAGTATTTGTAAAGGCAAGAAGAAACATATAAGTGAAAAGTTACAAGACGATCAGAATCTAGAGATATCACTCAGTGAATGTATCTAGACCGCTATACTTCATTTACAGTCATATCATCTAGGGTCACCAAATATTGCTTTCTTACATTTTAGGGACTAAAACTAGAAAAACTGTACTTATGTTAAGTACTTGGATAGGAAAAAACAATCATTCACTTCTTAAACTAATGCCATATCCTACTTCATATTTTCTTGGTTTGTTCAACATATAACTAAACCACCATAAATGCAGCAGATTTACAACTACACAATCTAGAATTAAATGCACAAATCGACTTCTAGCCTTGACATTCTTCATCTTCCATCTTAAGATATGGATAAAATCAGATCTAGCAGGTATAAAACCTGACAAGCTTGAGGATTTTCAACGTAGGGTTACTAAGCTAGTGACTGGCATTTCCAATCTCTCTAAGGACGAAGTATTAAAATATTTCAATTTTTCCGCCTTATTTTATAGTAGAACGCTACTTAATATTAACATTTCATATCTTCAATAATGATTCAGATGTTAACAGGTTTTTTCTTTTTACTCCCTCTAAAACTGTTCACCTCTGAGATAAACACAAAAAATAGTTCACAAAAATCATGATTTAAGAAATTTAGGATGAGATCTTATTTTCCTTCTTAAATGACCAATTTAGTTCATTTAAAATTAGAATTCACGAATATTTCATTATTTTATCATGTAGATGCTAGATCTCATTTCATATGATCATTTTGTAACGATCACAATGTTGATATTCTAAAACTTTTCATTAATATACATGTCATTGTGAATAAATGCTAATGAGTTTCAGTCCTATCAATATACATTAATCTTTATATTGAGAATTTTATTATAGGAAATAATATAGAAATAATGTAGTAAATATAAGCAAAGATGGATAGTGGCTAGCAGTGGAATCCAGGACGCGCGTTTCGTCCTGTTTGGGACTCGTCAGCTGGATGTACCTGCATCTCAGAGTTGATGTTCACTCTGGGACTCGAACTCAGTACCGTTCGTTTCAAACGCCATCGCGTTATCCACTTAGCTACTGATCAATTTCAGTCCAAAAACATCAATGGGAAAATTCAAGTAAAACAATATCAAGTGAATGTAGTAAATAGTTGAATAAGTTTCTATAATTTAATAAGTAGACGAAGATTATCCGAACTATGTAATATATTAACGCAATACATCAGGTTGTTCGAAATATATTACGGTCATATCATATCTCACAGTTCTGATAATCTTCGTCTATTTATTACATTATCGAAATTTATCAAAAGGGACTAATTGCTTTAAAAGTCGAATAAGTTAATTTCAATTGTTGTTACTGCTCACATAGAGTTGATAAACTGTTTGGATCAATTGTGGAAACATTTTATGAAACAAATGTTTATAATTAAATCTTTGTATACAATCAATCAACCAATCATATTAGTGTTTATTTGTTTGCTTTTTTTTTAAATTTTTAAAACAGAATGGACTCGTCAACACACATTTTTATAGATTTAGGCAATTAAATTTTAATAATCAAAAGATTAAAAGAGTTTAAAGATTAGGATAGTTACCAATAACCTGTACAAAATGAACGTGACAATTATTAGGATCGATTACATGAAACTATAGAAATACATTGTGTTTGTTTTTTTGAATTACAAGAAAACTTCTATTATTATTTGATTGAAAATTGTTTTTAACAACTTACTCTGACTAGTTACTGAGTAAAAACAAGGCCCTGCAGAACGTATGGTTAATTGATCGATAGATGTTGGTGATGATAAGCTTTGTGTAGATGAGACGGTATTAGGGTTAAATTTCGGTAGATAAGAAAATCGACGCCGAAAGTTGATTTGAGCTAAAATACTAATGATAATTTAAAGAAAAAAAAGATGGTCTGTGAATAACTAATAGTAAATTTTGTCAATGTTATAACGAGAAAATAACGTAAAAAAAAGAGAATTTCGATATAAAAATGGTCACATGTAATCACACTCATTTTAATTGTAAGCGATTACATTTCATTTAACTGTTTTAAAATAAAAGTGCATTATTTACAATTGATTGGCTGATATGTCTCAAAACTGAACGTACTGACAGTCAGTTATCAACAGTGATATGACCTGATACCAATATGTATCAACCTAGTTAGTACATTTTACATTAGGATAGTGTATGTGAGGAAATTAACAAATTGGAAAAATAAACTAACTAACTATGGATCTAAAAGAACAAACAAGATCGAATAAGATAAAACTCGGGATTTATAGGAAGATAAGAAATAAATGAAATTACTTTACTGAAACTGATTTTGATCTATCAGTTAATATCTCCAACTATTTATAGTGGTCAATTACCGGGGACACTAAATAGGGGAGTTTGTGTCTTTCATCTAGTCCAGTTCAGCAGTTGGTGATTCAGTGTTTTCGTTTAGTTACCACTCATTACTTTTTTATGATCAATACCTATGTTGGTCAGAATTTGACTTGAAAGAAGGTGCTAGTCATATTTCACAGCTTCGAAACAATGTACAGAGAGCTACTGAGCATTTAGCGGATTCTTCGAATTGGGAATGCACATTTTACTTGCGCCAATAGTGGCTTACGCTTGAGATTTTTTAAACCCAAAAACCAACCAGGGAAAGGTGACGGATACTTCAAACTAGGTGAAATATCAAAACTTCCGATTACTTCGCTCTCTATAGTTAACAAGAGATTGATATCATCAGTCTTGAAGTTCTTAGAGGTATGAAGGCTGTTGGCGATTCCGCATGTGGAGGGATACCTCTAGAAGAACCCGAAAAACGTATTAGATCATCAATGGTATTGACTACTTGGAGCATCACTGCAGGACCCAAGGCATAATTGGTTGAGACCAAACATATACGGTGTTTCTGTGAGTAGTTTTTTGAGTTTTGGACCTTACTGTGGGCGTTGGAAACCCGTGGCAAGAAGAGGGTCGCTACTTTATCTTCTAAATATCAAACACAACATTATTATTTCTGGATAAAATTACTATAATTATTGACACCTAATTTAATTGAGCTTGTATTATTTAAAAGGATTAAGTGGTTTGGTATGGGTTTTACGGTATCATAATTAGATTACCAGACACTTAGTTTACATCCAAATTATAATTAGTAAACAATATTTGATAAATCACTTGAATTCAATATTATGAAAATCAATGTATAAAAAACAAACAAACAACTTTGATCAATCCAACAACGTAAAGTATTTTATCTGTTTATTTGTTTCTAGTTGATTAATCGATAATTATATATGTACATTTAATCGGTTCTCTTGTTCTTGTAAGGAGACTATACTGGCTACATGAAGCATGTACTTTCCAGACGTATTTTCGAGGATTAACCTGTATGGGTATTTAAAAAGAGATCCAAGTCAATCAATAGTTCAGCCCTTCAACTATAGTCACGGACCGCTATTTGCATCATTTTGTATCATTTATACGGTCAGAGAACTAACTCAAAAGGGATTTAGATTATGAATTTGTGCACGACTTAAGGTTTCATAGTTTACTATTTCAAGCTTGATCTCTATTCAAAAAAGATGTGTTTGGTTACTTATTTGAAAAGTTGTTATCACCAACTGTTTGTTTCATTTAAATCTTCTTCATGTTCATCAAAAGTATAATTATCTGTAGCATTTCTTTGATAAAATGTTATTAAATATTACATTGAAGACAATTACATATTCAATATCTTAATGTTTGATTATTTTTTGGTAACTTCGAAGAATTATGCAACACCCGTCTCTTTTCATTGAAGGCTGTTATGTGTAAAGACTAGTAATAAATACCGTTGTACAGCTTTGATAAATGAGATTATTGAAAGGAACAGTCTATTCGCTGCACCGTCTTCATACACATGCAATAGTTATTAGTAAAAAAAGACATTATCACAACTCACTTTTCTGTAGTTTCATCAAATTTCCGTTTAAAACATCGATTAGCTGCATCAGCTGAGAATGGAGCACGAGGTGTACTTTTTTCAACCGATCTATCAGATTGTTCAATATTTTTGTTTATGATGCTGGAATTAAATACATCATTTTGTAATTTCAATGGAGGAGGTTTTGATTTAGAAGAAACAGTTTGTTGATTCTGAGAATTTTTATTGGTAGATGATTGAAATTTATTCTCACAATCATAGATTACACAATTCTCTTCTTTAAAAGAAACAAGTTGATGGTATGAGTTATTTATCGGCTGCTTTCGAATATGAAAAAGGATAAAATTACTTTTAATATAAAGCATATCTTGTTAACATCAAACAGTGATATCTTAGAAACGAATTAAGAATTACAAGTCTGAAGTACCGACTAGAAACATTACGAATAATTTGATCAAGTGATTACTAATCTAAGTGTTAAGAAAATGCAGAAGTATCAGTCAACTCAATCAAAATGATAAGGATCGATAGTTCGATTGTATATCAGGGTTAAGGTGACCACTGAGATTTAAATGATGGCATTTTGTCTAGCAGATAATACTTTAGTATAATCTCACAGTCCGCTAAGACTGTTAGTATTCACTTATATACATACAAATATCTTGAAAATGTTGATACTCACTACAAATCAGTATTTCTTGTAATATTTGTTAATAGTCGATAGAATTTGTTTGAATGCTATAATTATCTTCTGAAATAAGTATAATAATATTTATTCCTTCAAAATCAGTAGCAACTGAAGAAAATAAGACTGACCTCTCATAAACTATCGAATTCCATAAATCTTTGAAACAAAAAGAAAATACATTTTGTCTTTCATTTATTACTACAGTCATCATTTTCTTACTACAGTTAACAGAAAAGAAACTATCAACATATAGATTTAAAATAAACAAACTTGTAAAAAAACTGAAGTATTTTACATTTCAAATTATTCTAATGACAATAAGTCAGTCAATTTGCAAATCATTCTAATAGTTGTAAATCCAAATAAACAACGTAGAATAATTGACAATAAATATATTGATCAAACTTACAATTGTAGAATTTTGTTGGTTAGGTATGTGAGTATCAATATTATTTTCTAAAGAAATTTCATTGATTTGATTAGATTTTGATATTTCACAAGTATTTTTTATAGATTGTTGATTGATTTCAAGTAAAGAGTTGTTCAATTCTAAAATGGAATAATAAGTAATAAAAATTGAGTATAATTGTAACTACATGTTATAATCCAAGTTAGTGAATATTGAAAGCAAAAGTTAGAAAATAAGTGATACACTGCTCCCGTAGTCTTTAGAACTCTTTCCTAATAGTTGTAATCTGTTTAGTTCTGTACCTAAGAGCGAAACTATAAGTTATTTAGTGTAGCAATATCGATTATATTTAGGAAGCTCATTAAACAGCATAGTGACGTTTTCTCATTCATAATCTAATTGTTAAATGTGGTTGATACAAACAGACAATAGAATATTACATGGTTTTGTCAGTCGATCAAATCGAACCGTCAATAGAGTGGTAAAACCATGTGAAAGATTAGGGATCAAGCCAACTAAATAGTTTTAGATAAACAAATAACAATAAAGATGTATTGATCGAGATGGTATACATACTCAAGTATAATATTAACTCACATTCTTAATTAGAGAGAAGGGATAACAGAGTGTTGTGTGAGAACTGAGCACGGAATCATGAAGTAACTATTAATCCTTTCTAGAAAAAAAGTGTGGGAACGCTCGATTATTACAAACTTGAAATGATAGGTGAAACTTATGATTTTTTAAGGAATCTAACTGAAAATATTCGAATTTTTATGATTCCCTCCTCTTTTGATCTCTTCTTTCATTCGTTTTTTCTTAATAAGAACCATCAACGAAAGATACAAATTAAATGCATTTATAAATTAAGAAAATCTAAAAACTTGTGGCGTTCGCAGAACAGCACCCTCCCCTTCCTGGTTGGCAGCGACACCAAATGTAGTGAACAAGAACACCAGTGGGGACAATCGAATGTATTAAGCACAAAATTACAGGACTTGTTAATAAAATCTAACAATCATAAAGTAAATGCTTAATTTGCAAAATGTCCACCAATCGTCTCAAAATGATTCAGACCTCATTGTTATTGCATTTTCATACAAATTGCATTCTGTTTCCATTCATTACTGTTCGATCCTCTTGTCTCTCTGCTACCAGACCTTCTGTTCACGACTAACATCATATACTACTTATGTAAATATAAGTAACACACACCATAATATCACTGGATATTAACACTATACAAACGAAATGAACAGTACAAGTATCCCATAGAATAACGAAAAATGAAAATGTATACATAAAAAACATACCTGTAGATGAACAATTGGACGACAAAGAAGACGATGATGATAATGGTGACGACAATAACGTTGGTTTAATATTAATTGATAGTGGACACAGGAGAGGATTTTCTGCCACTTCAATTAGTAATGTATTTGGACAAACCGCAATTTGTGGTAGTATAAATGTAGGATGAGATAGGTCTGTAATTGAATTGGATTTGTTGCTATCGCTTAATGATTGGTTTTGTAGAAAATTATTAGAGTTTTCGAAAGTACCAGAACTGAGAATGTAATGTTTGTTTATTTGGTTTTTCAAAGTAAAGAGAACAATATAACAAAAAATTAACCCCGTTCGATTTTTAAATGAATTTGTTTTCTTCAGTGTTTAATAAAATTAAATACAAAATATCCTGGTTAATGACAATCATAAATGAACGAAATCATTTCTATAGTATATATCAACTAGACAGGATAACTCAAATATGGAATAAATATAGGAAAAGGAGTAAATAATTTCAAGAACTTTTATTTAATATTCAACACTAGGTCATTTATACGAAAATCAATGGTTTATACATAAACGGTGATACAGATTGTAATTCACCTTCTTGTCTATTTTTTTCATTTTAAATACTTATTTGCAGTCTGTAATAAGGTTGGTGAAATACAGTGAACTGATTCTATTTTGCTAAATATGATATTTGAGATTTATATTAGCATTTCTAAAGAGAACAGATAGTACGAAATTACATCGGTGTAGTTGTACAAGACAAATTAGAAATGATGAATTTGAGTATCAAGCCTAACAGACAAAGGTCTAATATCTCATAAACAAATGCATAGATTCAATGAATATACAAAAAAGAGATTATGTATAATATGGTACAAAACTCAACTTTTCTCCCTAGGTATTTTTGAAAAAGTAAACATACAGAAAAGCATTATATAAAGTGCATGTAAATATCCATATCAACAAAAAAAAACCCAGCAGATCTACAAGGGAATAAAGAAGACATGTGAAGTAAGAAAGAAAAATTAACAAAATGTCTATAACTGATATTAAAATAGAGAATGAGTTTATCTTTGCTACCAAAACAGACTTTTAGCGACAAAATCTGAATTTATAAACCATTATTAATCTTGACTACAATATGAACCTGAACTAGTCTCTAGTTGTTTACAACGTCAGTAGATAATCAACCAATCATTATGGACTGATGTTATACATTAGACTAGTCATATTATTTATAGTTGTTACTTGAAAGTGTTACATACTCTCTAATTATTCTATTGATGAGTTAAAGAAATTTATATTTTTAGGAAACAGTAGTTGAATGGAAAAACAATGATTATTGATAGGATTTACTGTTGACAAATTAAAATATTTTCATGAAAAGAAAATTTTCCCAAAAATCACATGATATGTGAGATGTGTATCAGTTGATTAAAAGAAAGAAAGATGAAATGGATAGACAAAGACAAAGTAAACAAGTGAACGTAAACAAAGGAAAAAAAAATAGTATTAAACTTAAAATGTTGACCAATACTGAAATTAAAAATAATGTCAGTTGGAGACAATGAACTTATTATATTTAGACAAAACAATCAGAATGTAAATGTAAATATCCAGTCGTTATGACAATTAAGAAATCACTAGGTGGTAGGTAAGATTTATTAAATATTAACAACAAAATTGAATAATTGCTTGACAGGTAGACAGAGATAAGGGAAGAAAACGAAATTGTCATTACAATAGCCTTTGAGAAAGTTAAATTGACTATGTGCATAGACCGTGATTATTTATATTGACTTCATTAAGAATGAAAAGAATACTTACGCGTTGGTGATATTAAGATTGATGAAAACGAATTAATAAATTTGCTTAAATGAAGTTAAGAGTAAAATAAATTCAAACAACCAATACAGGCAAAGTAGATTATCGAAAATTCTATTGTAGACAAGATTACTAACAACTTAAATTTAACACAATTGAATTCTGGTCGGCTCAGTGGTCTAGAGGTTATGAGTTCGGACGAGACCAAAGGTTCTGGGTTCGAGTTACGCGTGAGCGACCGTGGATGCGCACTGCTCTGGAGTCTTGTATTAGGATGAAACGGAGATCCAGTACTACCAGATTTTCCATGGTGATCGACATCGATCAGTTCATGGTTTCAATGAAGCTTACATTTAAACTAACAGATTAGATATTTACTTGGCTTGGTCTATCCGTAAATCATTTTTGTTGATTTAGAGAATAATACAGTAGATAACTTTCGTCCATAAATTTCTTAATTTTCATCAAACCTACTGTACAATCAGTTTTTATTATGGATTATGAGGTCATTATCGTTTTTAGGTAGTACGTTTTCCCATATTCATTCATAAGAAATGGATGAATTATTTAGTTATAAAGAATTTTACAACTATTATACACACATAAATATAATAATAATAATAATAATAAACTAGTGGAGTTAATTTTAATGGTAAAAATGGTGATATTGTAACGTTAAATTCGCCCTAATTTTCTCTTCAGGCACTATTATTGCACAATTACAAATATAACCTGATAGTTGGTAATTTTACATTGGTTTTCAGGAGAACCAGGTACCCATTAAGGTTTTTACACGATCTGGACAGTACAGCCCAATCATGTAGCGCAACTATACAGGTACTAAAACGCTTGATGAACCAATACATTGTATAGAACAAAGAATGGTATTACTTTGTTTCTTATTTTACAGAACATCAGTAAATCACATATAAATTGGGTTTACCATTAAAAAAGAAAATTTATATTATTCATCATCTTATGTAATAAACATAATGGTAGCTTACTTTGACGATTGTTCGAGAACTGATTGACTAGTTGAATTACATGTAGAAGTAGTTACGCTAGAATCTATTAAAAGATTTTTTATTGAACCACTCAGTGAGGTTGACTCTTGATCAGGAGTTAGTGTCGTATCTTCAAAGATCCAAAAGTTGACAGGGACAGACAATTTATGTTTATTCCATCAAATACAGCAATTCAATGGGAGTTCAACAAAGAAACAACAATGACCATATATATGTACAATTAACTAATGAGTTATATAAAATTTACCAAAGCATAACAGCTAACATTGAAATTATATTAATATCAACAATTCGCTTACTTTAAAACAGCATTATGAGAATTTTCGACGAAATAAGGAAGTAAAACTGTCATATTCCCATGAGAATAATGGATGGTAACTTTTGGGACCCATTTATGGATCAATACTATGCGTAAATTTTCATCGTGTAATTTTTAATTAACTAAACTATTCATATTCGTGTTCCTCTTATCATAAGCTTCATTTTGACCTATGGACTGTTATTATACGATTTATTACTCTTGAGTTATCCCTTGTCTATCAATTACTATCTCTCTTATTCACAGCCACATTTAGCTAAGTCTTGTACAAATGTTGTTTCCTATTTTATGGTACGATGTAGTCTGTTTGATTGGTATATAAACTCCGTATGTTTGAAATAAGTGATTCATACCGCAGAGGCTGAGATAGGTGTTCTGAACTTAACAAGCTGGGCTAGGCGGGAAGCAGGACCGATAAGGACTCTAGACTTTTCGTACGGGCTTTTACACGTCATTGGTCCGATAGATAATTGACTGTTCTCTAATCGGCTGCATCATCACGTGATACATTAATAGGACACAGGGCACAAGTTATAACAGAAAATTAACTATAGCCCACTCACTCTACTATTCTGGAATGTGGCTTGACAATTCCATCTCTGTGCTAATGGAGTAAAACAACTTGAAACGATGTACATACGTATTAGGTTCTACGTTGTGATGGACTGACTGACAGGTTGTGGAAACACTACACTAAAAATATAGAATACTGAAGTTATTCCTGCATGGTTTCACACATATAGTTTCAATTCCCTTTGGATTTATGCCCTCAAAATTCACTGATCCTTCCTCGTTCTGGAACTTCAGTTACTGGAAGGGGTAAGGAATAATATAAATAAGTAAAATGGCGTATTTAGATGATTTTTAGTCCACACAGTCCCACTGAATCAAACTACACATAAGAAATCTTTCACTGAGATTTGATCGATAAGCTCTCATCCTACTTTCAAACTGAACATCATACGTACAACTTGTAGACCACAGGTAATAGTTGTTAAAGCTATATGTATCTGAAGAGTGAATAGTATGGAGTTATCTAACTAAATAGGTAAGGCCAACTGAATAACCATTCTATGGTCGTGTATGAGAATTTAATAGACACATGATATGTGAATCCATAGGGTTTCAAAGTTTCAACTAATGATATATGTTTATTACTCAATATAAGAACGTAAATGTTGTTAGCTTTAGGAAATAGTTAAAAACATTTCAAGAGATTTCATACGATCGAACTGCTAACACGAGCTACATACTCATGAGAGATTCAAGTTCTCATGAAAAGGTTGATTATCAGAAAATGACTTTAAGAAATGGTGAAGAGAATTTGTGACGAGTAAGATGTAGTTAGATGTCTTTAGACGTGGTCGCAGAATCCAGAAGACAACCCCACTGGAGATCGGTTATAAGTAGATTTTTCGTAAATAACTTACTTACTTACGCCTGTTACTCTCAATGGAGCATAGGCCGCAGACCAGCATTCTCCAACCCACTCTGTCCTGGGCCTTCTTTTCTAGTTCGTAAATAACGGCTCTGGGTATAAGGGTAATCGCTCCTATAAGTTCCTATAATTTACTTTTGAAATTCAAATTCTAAACGCTTAGATTATTTTATGGGAAGGTGGAACCCAGAATTACATTAACTAGTATTTGTCTTTTCATAAAATGTAGCTTATTATTAAACTATTTCATGTTTGACTGTCATAATGCCAATTCCAGTTCTTTTCAATAATAGTATCTTGAAATATGGCAGCCGTAAACAATGTTACATCGTAGCTCAGTGAGATATTGTCTCTGTTTTTGAATGATATAATTTTTGATCTGAGGCTAGAGTTCTTCATTGAGAAGTGTTAGCAAATGATTAGAGACAATGAATGCTATAATTGAAATTTTAGAGCGAAATCATACTGATTTCTATCATTGCACAACCTTTATTAACATTAATGTAACAAGGGGGAATACACGTATCTCTCAAGAATTCAGTCATTATGAAACGGCCATTTAGAAAGATGAATTTATTACAAACCAGTAAAACTAATAGAGTAAAAATGTCAAACAGTTTTTCTATGATGAACTAATTACCGCAGGTAAACCCAACAACTTTTCGATAGGCTTTTATGAACTAGAAAGACTATTTTAGTCGTATATATACATATATATGTTTGAGAAAGTAAACGTAAATTCGTAAATTAGACAAAGTATCAGTGAATAGGTCGTAAATAATCCGTTTATAACCTTTCACTTATTCAGATTTGCAATGAGACGAGTAAGTGCATACTTAAACATGAAAAGTAATTCGTAAGTGAATGAATAAATAATTACCTTCAAAATTGTGCTCTGTTAATTCCTCGTTGGAATTATTAATAGTTTCAAAATTATCACTACAGGATGTATTGGATTTGTCAATGTTGACTTGAACGTTTTTAGAATCAGTATCAAGATCCTCAATAACAAGTGGTGGAGGTTGTATTAAAGCATCATTAAATAAGTTATTTTCTTTATCCAAATATTGAACGGCGTGTAATAATAAGTCTAAACCATTTAATCCATACAGATCATTCTCAATAACAGAGGATTTTACTTCAATGGAACTATGATTATCATAACAGTTATGTTGAGTGATATTTTCAGCTATGAGATTCGATTGTGATAAAGCTGTGAATGTAATAAAAGAAAATGCTTATATTATAAAATCTCATGAAACAAATGGAAATAAATCTAGGTAGTTAAACATGCAAGGTGACGATAAATAGCATTTGCATAAAGTTACGGTCGGGATATAATGACCTAGCTGCAGAACCCCGCCAGTAGCGTTTCTGGAGCTACTGCCGGTCCCGAGCCCACACAAAGGAAAAGGGTTGCGCATGGGATTATTAACCCCATCCCGTAAATAGAGACATTACTAAAAAGAATGATAACATATGTAAACAATTTGAACCATTTGAAATCTACACTCCAGTTGAGGGATCTTCCCATCGAACAATTATGATACCTTATGGTAAAATCCGATATTCTTCGGAAGTCACGAGGCCGATGCCCTTTCCAACAACAAGAATAACCATTGATTAATATAGGTACATGAAATGTCCGAAAAATGTGAGAGACCGGGAGGATCAATCAAATCTCTGCATATCATATTTGTATCACTAAGAAAAGTTCAAAATAGTACAAGTATTTAAAAACAATTGTCTACGTAAGACACTCAGTTTCTGTTGACCGAATACCATCAGCAACAGCCTACTCTGGGAGAGAACAAACCAACTTCCAGTTGAGGAGGAAATTAGGGAAAGGTGTTAGAAGTGGATAGGAAATATATTGCGAAAGTAATAAAACTGTATCATGAGGTAAACACTAACTTCTAATCTCAAAGAGAAACGGAAAAGAGGAAGACCTAGGGACACATTGCGCCGGGAGTCGGGAACAGACATCAAAAGGATGGATAACAACTGGAAAGGATTGCTCAGGACAGAGTTAAATGGAGAATGTTGATGTGCAGCCTATGCTCCTCCACTATGGGTAACAAAAGTAATTAAGTAATTTGGTTTTAGAAGAAAAATTTATTCTAAAGTGTTCTGTTGTCTACCGATGACGGGAATGATTTCTGTTTTAAAGTAAATTGTTATTTATCAAGTGTCTTAATGCATTCATAGAATATATTGTAAGAATGAAAAACAACAACAGAATAATCGTTTTCAAAAACTTTGTCTTCATGATCTACTCTTATAAATTTATATAAATTTTGTACACCAATAAAATGGATGTGAGACGTTATTTTTTAATTGAAACTGTTTACCATCCACTCTTTGTTTTTTTTTCAACCTTTAAACAGTTGCACAACTTACTTAAGTAGACAGATATTGTACTAATATCTACAGATAAATGTATTGTTTTTGAACAAGTTTGTTTTAAGAAGTTTTGATTATGTATATGTGTATTACGCAATTCGAAAGGATTGTTATTTGATGAAAATATTACTACTGGATTTATATAAATTTACAAAAATAAAATATCATGAAATACAACTTAATCTTTTATATAAACTTTACGATGCTATCACAATGTACTTGTTCAGTGTAAACAATGGTATAAACATTCATGTAAATGTCAGGTGATATGTAAACTGCAAAAGTATCACATATATTTTTTGAAATACCACTTTTCAAAACAACATCAATTTAATCCCAAATACAGTATAATCATTATAAATACTATAAAAAATCTCTATTATTATTGTTATATTCAGGGATGCATGGTGCCACCTTAGACCGATGAATAAAACGAAAATCAGTATTGCAGCAACAGGACAAGCTAAGCTATTCCTCTGCGCCCTAGCCTTGTTAACTAGAGGAAGAAAACCAGATTCACCTTGGAAAATATATAATTCCACAAGCAATCCAGAAGAACGAATAAAAACCACTCAGTTCATGTGTAATATAAATAATACAAAAAACATCCTTGGAAAGCGTCACAAGAGAAAACGAACCGATGACTTTTAGGGTCCTTCCAGGTGGGCAATACAAACTTAAAGTAAAAATGGGCATTTTTCGCGCGGAAATGAGGAATTCAAATCCTAAAAATAAAATTGCGAAAATAAGAAGTTCACCAATCGATTTCTGAGGATCTAGCATCCTCAACAACTAGTTTAATATAAATTCGAACCTCACGAAGAGTAACAGTTTTTTTCAAGATTGCATATATGCCTTGCTGATGATGAGCACGCAACCTATTTCTAGGACAACCTACTGAGACTACCTCCAACCATCAATTATCGGAAAATAGTGTTGAAAATGTTTAGTCATTTTGAGTGGTGGGTACATTGTAGGTTGGTCGATAGGATTCAATTAGAACTACAGATTAAACAAAACTATATAACATCACATGAACTTGATGATAGATTATACAATTCATAAAATCTATTGAAAGGAACTAAAAACTTACCTATAGGTGATTCATTATTCAATGATAACTCGTTTAAAGCTGAATTCGCTAAAATACTGTCAGATTCATTGATCTGGTTACTGGTACATGAATGTGTAATAAGTTTATTTTCATCTGATAAAGACTTATTCACCAATAAATTGCTAGAATCAGTCAGTGATGTATGTGTTTTTGGATGTGAATTACAATCAGTTAGGAATCGTTTCTTAATGTTTCCACTTTCTGACCTAAGTCTCTGTTTAGAAGACCATTTCCAATTGGGGAATAATTGAAAATGCGCAGCTTTTAGCTAAATATGAAAGGGAGATAAAAAAAATGTGATATAATACAAAACACTATCATTTTAAAATCAGAAAGATTGTAAATCAAAGTTTACTCAGTCGGTTAGTAATCATTCGATAAATTGATTATAATTATCGTATGAACATTTCCTTTATTTTAGGGACTGTATACAAAGTTACTACAGATTAAATTCAACTTGTGTATCTCAAATTATTCAGTTTGTTTATCATTTTATTTTGGTCTATTCAATGATATTTACAGTTTAATCATGATCGCCGTAATAATAGGGTTAGATATATAAGGTTAACGTGAAACAAACATTTCAATTCATTAAAATGTTTATTTAAGTACATCAAAATCGGAAGTAACGATCTAAATATTACGTAAATATCCATAGATATTAAGAACTGCAATTGAAAAATCTAGATTGACATATATGAATTCTGAGTCGATTCATTGTAAGTTACCATTTAGTTACTGGGTTTATGTTTCAATGTAAACGCCAACATTGAGATTTAGGTAAATCCTATCGACGAATCTCGGATAAAATGAAACGTTACTCCAAGTCTCTCTGCTAGTCAAAATCTGAACATATATTTTTCAAACAGCTATAAATTTATATGTTACAAATTTACTAAAATAGGAACTATTACATCTAATGACAATTTATTCATTAATACAGTTTTAGGAACTTTAAATATGAACTTTGCTGAAAAGTTCCAATGTTGTTAAAAAACTTTTTTTTTCGGAAAAATTGAATAAATATCAGAATAACAAATAACACAAGTGTTTATATGGTATTATAGAATAATGATCTACATTAGTAATTCTGAAATTTTGAGTTCCTAGTTCAAATCTCGTTTCATATGACTATGCTCTCTTACTTTGAAGTAATAGCGTTTATTTGTGATCTTTACACGCTCAGAAGCTTGTTCTTTGTAGTTCTATCAAGATAAGAAGGTTAGCCGGAAAGCGAAAATACTGAAATCAAGTGGTTTGTCTACGTTATTGAATGACAGTTGGGATAGTAAATCCAATTACGATGTAAAAGTTACGCTTCAAGATATCATGAAGCTAGACTGCTTACAAAAATTGTGAGAAAGTTTATTACATGTAAGAACATCTCTATAAAATCAGAAATTTCCTAAAACAATATAGATGTTTATTTAATTTTGGGGTTATATTTGTTGCTCTCTTTGGTATATCAAGGAGGTAAAATCTTTCACTATACTGAAAGTTAGAAAACCATCAACAACAATCCTTTTCTATTTTACGACACCGATTTTAAACCAAAATATTGATATTCCATTAGCACTACAGGAAAAATATATGATAACTTTTACGGATTTATCCCGTGCCTATAAATCTATCAATTTTTGTTTTAAGCAACTAGAAATAATAGACACGATAAATCGTTCACAGAATTAGTACATTATTCAGTTAGAATAATATTTATAACACTTAAGAGTAAAATAAGTCTTTTGGTTATCTGTCCTCTCACAATAAAACAAAATCATCAAATAAGGAGTATTATTATTATTCTAAAGAAAAAAAGATAAAGATAACTCATAATATTATCTGCTTACTTCACGAGCTAATTGTTGATAAGGTGCTTTTTCTGATGCATCTAAATGATACCACCAATCACCTAAAATTTGACTTGCCACACGATTATCTTTATTTGGATAAAGACGATGTACTTCACTACGATGTCTCATAGAAAATATAATAAAAGCATTCATTGGACGACGTACATGTTTTTTATCTTGATTAGTTTTATTTAATATTGTAGACAGTTTTAATTTTTTATTTATTGAACATTCATTGAACACTTGAGTATTATCAGTTTTAGAAATGTTTAAATTAATTACAGGAGTAGTAATATTAAGTTGATTATCATTATTATCATAATCATGATTGTGATGATCGCCGCCGCCGCCGCCATCATCATCATCATCATTAACGTTGCCGCTACAATTTTGAGTCAACTTTGAAAAATCAATAAAGAATTATTAGTAAGACGAATAAATGATAAAAAAAATTTCGTTCATATTTTTTATTAAAACCAAGAGAAATATACCTTTCTTTTTATGATAAATCCATTAAAAAGATTATCATAAGGGTATGATGAAATAATGTCTATGTATATGCTACATATTATATTTTAAGAAAAAAAGAAATTTGATTCAATGAAACAAAGACTACAATCAATGAATTAACATCTATGAAAGAAGAAGAAAAGATTGATTGAATTTCACTGTAAACTAATACATAAATAAAATATTAGCACTTAAAAGTAATAAAGGGAAAATATTCTCTACTTATAATTTCATTTAAAGTTCTCTATACATAGTACATTGAATAGTAGGGGTATTTGATAATCCAATCTTTAGGTTGATACTAATACAGTCTATTGTTATTTTAATTGATGATTAGAGGCTTTTGAAAATAAACTGAATACTAACAAAAAATCCATTAGGAATAGTTGAGTAAAATAGAGCATTTTAATATGCATGTTATTTTTTCTACAGGAAATAAAAATTCGATGAAAGTAGGAAATTTTCAAGCGGACTAGAAGGAATGCATGAATAGACTGAAGAAATGTAGAAAGAGTGAATATATTTATTTTATTGTGACTAACTTTCGCCTTATTCATCTTGTACTTATAGTCAGTAATTTTAGATACCTGAGAAGATTTAGCCGAGAAATCTATATTTTCCTGTACGGCTGAACTCATTAATCAGAAATTGTATTTACCAGCACTTTGAAGTAATGTCTTACTGCTCCATCCGTACTAGCTTTTATGAATACTTCCACTAATGGAGATGAGTTATTTCTTGACAAAGATGCTAGCTCGTCAGCTATCGGAACAGTCCTGTCTCAAATAAAATAGACAGGAGCGGGTCATAGCCTACACTAGTCGACAGCTAGATAAGAGGGAAATGAGATATTCTACAACGCGCCGAGATGCTGGATCTGTTAAAATGTTTGCAACATTTTCCTCACCACCTCCTGTAACGCCCTTTTAGTGTAAACCCGGTCTATCATGCACTCCAGTGGCTTCGTTCGTTTCGCAAGCCAGAAGATTAAGTGGTGCGCTGGCAGGAGTAGATGTAAGAATTCGATTTTATGTGCAAGTACCAACCTGGAAGCCGATATACAATGCTGATTCTCTATCCCGTATATGTAAGCACAGCTCCTGAGATCGATTGGTCGTCTCTGCAGGCGATGAACCCCGATCTGCAGCTTATTTACCAAAGAAAACTACATGAAAATAATAAGCCATCGATGGGAGAGTTAAAAGATCATCTCATAGCAACGCGCCGTCTTTGTATCAAATGGTCAGCCATTCAGTTACAACGTAGGACCAGGCATATATATATATATATATATATATATATATATATATATATATATATATATATATATATATATATATATACCATACCTCATTAGCCGAATGGAGTAATCTGAGATTGTATGGTGACACATTATTTCTATTCAGTGGATCGAAATAGCCCCTGTTGATAGCACCACGCGTAAAAGTTCAGACTATTATGGATTAGGTGTATTGTGAACTCGGCCACTCGGGAAGATGAAAAACTGAACACGCAATTTCGGGTTTCTTTAAGACTTTTTATCCTTGTGAGGTCATTTAAATGTTGTCTTTCTTCCGTTAAGTTGACGGTACTACGGTTTATTTCCTGTTGAGTTTTTTTACTTATTCCGGCAGTTTTAAGGCATCATTTGTATTGTAGTTTAATCCTTTTTGGAGTAGGTGTTTTTCTATGTCTGACAGGGGTTGCTTTGACAGGTTAACCACGCAGTTGTTTATGTTTTCTTCCGTGGGTGGTTTTGGAATCTTGACTAGCTTTTTTTTCTTGAGGGTGTTTTTTCTTTGTTCTCTACGTCGTCTGCCTGATATCTTGATCGCCGTTGTCAACATTACCAAATGTTCTGATGTATCCTCTCTGGCTTCCTTTATTGGTCATCCATGGCGTGTTGGTATTTGTGGATCCTGTAGTGTGCATCAGTTATCACTAAGCGTCACATTTTTCTTCCGCTTTACTCAGCTATCTTCCATCTCACTGAGCAGTTGTTGGTTGGAGGTCTGGATCTTACACTTGTTGGCGGAAAATGAACCTGAAGTTTGTGCTAATTATGTTGTTCAGAAGAATAATGAAGGCTCCACGACTAAACCATCCAGCTCAGAGAACAAAACTCCACCCAGAAATTAGTCAGTCTCTTATTGGCATATGTACTGGTTTCCTGTCCCGGAATGAAAATCAACTATGTGATGCAGGTGTATATCCAATTGACAAGTTCCAAATCGGACAAAACGCTCGTCTTGGATTTCACTGCTAGCCACTATTTTATCTCTATTTAGAATGCTTGTGATTTATTGGCAGTATCGAGGTAATCCGCACAGGATACATATATATGCCAAAAAAGAAACTGATCAATTATAGTCCTAAACATCAATGAGACAATTCAAGCAATCAATACAAGAATAAATATTGACTAGAAATTAGAAGTTTCCTATAATTGAAGAAATCTATCTGAAAAAAAAAGATTGATTTACATGAATACAATAAATAGAATATTTAAAGAAGTTAAATTTTGTTGTAAAAATCTAATTTATTTCACTTCATTATGTTTATAGCTTAACTCTAGGTTATTCATTCAATTACATGAATATCAGAATTCATATATTTTTTCCAAGGGATGAAATAATAGATATGAGAATGAATAGAAGAAGAATCTCATTATCAACTGATTGGATAAAGTCCTAATAAATAATAATGATTAAATAGATACCTCTAGGAACAAGAATTTATTTATATTCTTTATAATAAATAAAAAGAAATGCTATATTTTCATTATTGACAAATTCTACATGAGTCATTGAATGGGTGAAATTGAAAAGTTTATATCTTATTTATCCATAGATAAGAAAAATGTTAGAAGATAGACAGAATAGGAAAAAAAAACCAAATCTAATATCTAAACAAAAGTTGATATGTACGGTAAATAGTTTGTTGTGATTAAATGATAAATAATTCACTGACAAAATAGGTCGAGTATTTTTGTTAGTCTGTTTATTTATTGATATCGGGAGATGATGTTATCAAACTTGTTTTCTTCTTGAATTATTCTTTTAACATAATGAGTATTTATATTATATTACTTATTTCATAAATTTGACAAAATTTATAACGATTTATTTTTTTTCCAATCAAAATAATTGGGAAGTCATAAGAGGAGCGAAAAAAGATCGATAAGGGATATTGTAGATAGTCTAGTTAACATTCTAAACAATTCCTATTAAAGACTATTTAAGTAAGAAGGTGAATAATACAAGCAACCAATGATTCAACAATAATAAGTTCATGTTGAAACCTGTAAGTCTTATATATGTTGGTACAATAAAACAATTAGTATTTCTCTATAATCTTCAGTTTATTTTTCAACTACAACGGGAGCAAATAGAACATAGTGACTAGAACAAAACTGAAAGTTGATTATTAGTGGGGTCTTTTAGCTCATATATAGCAGAATTAGAGCGGTGATTCAGTGATTTCAACTTAAGATTAGATAGTAACAAAGGTTATTACAGATTAAGTAATCATTTTTATACAAATATCTCGATATTTTTAAAACTGAAATTGATCTTGAATAAGTTAAGAAAAGAAATGTATATCTTGAATATATTATCAGATATCGAGTCAGTCCATATATCTTATTTATCAAGTAAGTATGAATAACTTCTTACAGCGTGGCTAATTGATCAGATTAAAAGATTCTTTTATACTTTACATTTTCTTATTTCTTTGTAATTTCATGAACGGAGGTCATTTAGTTTTTCCAAACTGAACTATTTACATGAAATTTATTACAGAAGTAAAATGAAACAAAATGTTCTCCTATTATTTTGAAACTATTTTCCTCAGAATATTTAGATATCATATCTTATAAACGATGTTGACAATAGCTATGTAATTATTTCAATGAATATATATGAGAGTAATTATGGATAGCATAAACACGAGTTCCCACGATCAGATGACTTACATTAGAACATGATATATATATATATATATATATATATATATATATATATATATGAATCGAATGTGGAATAAATTCTAAAAAATGACATATTATCATTGAAAAATCAAGTAATAAACCACTACAAACTAAGGATTGATTGATGTCGACTTCAATTTATTTTGAAGTTATTTTGCTAAATCAAACTTCTGAAAATTCCCTATTTAAATGGAACTATAATCCATTTTCATAGGTGAATATATGTTCTTTCAGAACAATTCTATTAAATATTCTATGATTCTAAATTTTATAAATAGATTATTCGGTTAACAATGATCACTGTAAAAGTGTCCAACATGAGTAAGATCATTCAGCTCTCTATTACAATATCCCTTCTTTTTTCACTAGTTAAATTACTCAAGTATTAGAAGAGTAGGCAGTGGCTAAATTAGACCGCGAATTACATCGAAATGAAATGCATTTTGTAAGATTAGATGTCATATCTTGGAGTGAGATAAGAGAAACAGGCTCAAGCTTATCATTAAGACGTGGAACTTTTAGTAGTGAGTTCTCTGAGGAAGGTGAAGCCGGCGCTGAAGATGGTGTCCAGAATAACAAAGAAAGATATGTAATCAGACCATCTAGCTCGGAGGATTCAATACCAACAGAAATATCAATTTGAGCTACAAATTTTACCCAACATGGAAGTTAATGCTAATCGTAAGTTTTAAGTCGACTACAAAGGTTTGAAACAGACATATATTCATGAAAAAAGTAATTATTTTATAGATATATACTCTCAATAATACACTTACTACTGAACTGGACGTCTCACGTGACAATTGCTTACAGGTCTCCTCGGAATTTTCGATACAATCTAGACAATAATAATAATAATAATAATAATAATAATGAGAAGTGTGAAGGTGACTATTAGAAAAATTAAAAATCGTTAGGGTTGTTTATATCATTTATTTATGTGTTAACAATTCTAATAAACAAATAAGAGATTAACCAATCAAAAATGTTAAAACTAGTAACTGATAACCAAATTAATCTAAATTTTATAAAACGTTCTATTATAGTTTAGAAGAAAAAACAACTATTAACGACAAAGGATCCAGTTTGAATGTGTACCAGTTCATGTTGTCATACTTTAGACTCATATTGGAATAGTTAAAACGATAAAAAGCATAACAGTACTACTGCTACTACTACTACTACTACTACTACTAATGGTAATAATAATAATAATAATTCAAATTGTCACAGTTAGGAATTTTGAAAGAGACAAATTGATTAAGAGAATGAAGACGCCATAACTGAAATTAAGCAAAGTACAGTGTGAAGAAGGCAACTTTATTTTCGACGTCACTTAGTAAAGCTGTGTAATTGTATTTATAATTATTTTACACATAGCAGTTTAGAAATACAACCAGTTCCTTACTAGGACTAATATATAGGTTATACAATAAAATATAACATCAATAACCAATAGATGATGATGAGTCAATTTAACAATGTAGCTATCAGTTAGTGAAAACATTTATAATAAGATGGAAGGATGTTGTCTTCATCGTGTCCAAGGTTTGCATGAGTTTTTTAAAAGTGAAGCTAATCAAACAACTGTAAAAGGGAAAAAGTGTGATGGTCAAGTCCGAAGTAATACACTCGTTATTACTTGCATTACGGCAAAAAAAGAATGTATTTACTTTATTAGAATAGGTTTCAAGTCATATTTAATGTCTCATTATTCTCAAAATCCTAGTAAGCACCAGATATGGATGAGAGTTAAGTATTTTGAAGTTTGATTATATTTATTGGTCTGGTTAACTTTAGGTTTGTTGAGGAAATAATCTATGTGTACATCAGGTTATGTAATAAATTAGGCATTTCTGACACCAACAAAATGACTTCAATATATTTTTACGAGGTATCTTGAAAGCATGATGCTTAAACAAGCGATTAGTGAAACGACGGGATACTCCAGATATGTTGACGATACGTTTATTGTCTGCAACAGTAAACAGCATGTAATACACCTGTTATGACAATAAAATGATGCTCATCCCAGCATACAATCTATTATGGAACACGAAAAGAATAACATATTCCACTTTCTTGATGTTGCCATACAACTGAGAGAAGATCGGACAGCTCAACGTTCGATTTATTGAAAAAGTACTTGAAATAGTCTTTACCTGAATTTAAGCAGTTTTTGTCCAACCAGTTACAAGAAACCGTTGGTCAAAACACTATTATTTTATGGGGTAAAAAGTATATGTATCACCGACAAACTGGAAGAATTGATGAACGTTGAAAAATACATAAGAGACAACTGTTGCCAACAGAAATTTGTTGAAACATGTAAAACATCTATGTAAAATAAGTTGGGTGTGACTAGTCAATAAAAAACCAATATCTATAAATCTCAACTTCAAAGGTGATAACGTTGCAACCACAAACAGCAGGAGGCTTAACACTGCATTAGCCAGAACTTACCCGGCAGCCAATCTATTAATCGTGTATAAAACGAAATGTTCAACAACCTAATCAAAGGTCGAAAAGCACATCTTTCACGTTAACGCTGTGTTTATAAATTTACGCGTACCTGACAAAGAGGCTACATTGGCCAAACAGAAAGGACGGCATATCTTAGATTTTGTGAACATAGTCCAATAAGCCTTAGAACAACAGAAAGAACGGTTTTAAAGTGTAATTATTAAACATGTCTTGGACACAGGATATCAAATCGCTATCTTTCAAGGTGATTAGTAAACAGCCAAGCTCCAGTCTTCTGAATTTGCTGAAGCCATTGCTATCAGGATTCAAAAACGTGATTTATGTATTCGAAAGATGATTATTAATTTTTCTTCGGTTTGGTGACAAATGTTATTTCATTACATCATACAGTCCTTCTTCTTCTAACTAATTACATCATTTCGTCATTTTATTTCGACTGTCTTCTATATTAGTATTCTTATTTTAATAATTGAGCTTTACTCAATATCAGCGTTTACTCATAACGTAATCGCTTGTTTCTAGTCTTTTGGACTCTTGTTACAATCAATGTTGTAGAATGTTCTTTTATATAAGGTGTATATTTACAGTATTTTATTCAATCTATTAAATTTATTTAAACTCTTGTTATACTAATGTGTTTTCAACATAACTTCCAACTAAACTCTTTGATGTAAGTGATTTAAACCCATTCTGTAATTACCATTTTTAATTACCACAAGTTGTAATCAGCTGACGAGAACCAAACGAAATAAGATGAATTCATGCCATTTTGCTAAAATCTTTGTTCCTGCTCTCTTCAAGATGATAAAGGGAACTATGTGTATGAAATATGCAAAATGTATAAGATTTTTACTAGAGAATCGAATACTTTGTCGGTGATATCTGATGTGTACATGTTTTTTGTATGTAATGCTTCTTTATTGAGTTTACTTGTAATTTGATATCGTATTTGAAGTATCTCAGCATTTGTGAAGGAAATTTGTATAGAAAACACGGATATAACGATTCGCTTTTACAAATTAATGATAGGAAATCGCAAAATCAAATCGTTTCATAAACTACTCACCTGTTTCAGCAGATTGATCAGACTTTTCAATATCTACAAGATTGCAGACTTGACTTAATAACGGTGTTGAACATTGGTCACTGTCTGATTCACGATGACCAGGACTTTTGTGACTATTATCACAGTACTGATTACCACTACTGTGACCTTTGTTAAGATTACTATTTTCGTTTTCAGTTGTAGTTGGATTATCCCAAAAGTCCGATGAATTATTTGAATTAAATCTTGGTGCATCTTGTTTTCTTAAAGAGGGTTCCCCTACAGAAATACTATCCGTGAGAATAGGAAGTAAAGCAAGAGGAGTAGAAATTGGAGACATTTGTCCAACGGAAGTATTAAATAGTAACGGTGCGAATGAAGGATCTAAAAGTGAAATTCGGAGTATACTGTATAAACTTTTTTGAAACTTTGATAATTAAAAACATCCAACTGATACTGAAAATATAAAATATTAATCACTAGTTCACGAAAACAATAAATTCAGGTAGCTAAATCGTTAACATTCTTAAGTGTTTATAGCAAGATATGAGAGGTAGGAAGTAAAGTTAACAATATAGAGTTTGTACGTTTTAAGGATACAGAAAGATGGACAGAATACAAGACGTAAGTGAATTATTCGGCTACAAAGGTATCAAGATGTGGAGTAACACAAATAATGAGTACATCTATAGATTTAAAGTTGTGATTACTACGCTGGAGTCATTGGTTTCTAACAATCTCATTATCTAAACCGACTGGCTCCACATGGCTTAGACATACAGTTAGTAATCTTATATAACGACGGTATGTCATTATCTAGTTATACTTATCTATCAGCTGACTATCATTCCATGTTTGGGATAATTTCATCAGTTCTAGTAGGAACCGCCAACCTGTATAGTTAACAAATTTGAGGATGAAACAGCAATTTAGTGGCTTTACTGAATGAGGAACGGGATATATTGCAAACATTAATGGAATAATAAGGTGCGGATTATTGGGTTCCTTTCAATGATTGAATATCGTTAACTGTAGCATTTTTCGTAGTCATGTTTAGTATAAAAAATGTACCACATACATATAAGAAAATCATGAAGAAATTACTGCACAGTGAAATAGTAAAAAGTAAGCTAAAAGGTTTATATGAAACTTACTCGGAATAGGCATTGAAGTAACTTGTGCGCCAACAGTGGTAGGTATAATGCTTGAATCATACCGATCATTAAAATGAATTGAAGTCAGTGGAAGCGAGAACACTGATTGTTGTGAAATGGTCGTCGTTGTCGTCGTCAGCAGTTCCGTAGTTGTAGAAGATATGACCGTTTGTGTTGCACTCGTAGAGGAACCCGTCTCAGTTGTTATAGATGCTGACTTACTTGTTGACAGAAAAGGAGTTAGTTTGTAGGGCGCGAAAATGGAAGGAGTGAGAAGTAGTGATGGTGTCGATGAAGATAATAATCCGGTAGATGTGAATGAATTCATCTTATTACGGTTTGATCCATGTTCTCTAGGAATACCTGATGTGCTGTATTTCGATTCGGAAGAATTCAAAGCCGCTACAGCAGCGGCATATCCCATTACACGCATTTCCTTCCCCTAAAGTTAGGATAAATTTGTAGATGAAGACTAAATATTATATATATATATATATATATATATAACATTCTTCTAAAGGATCGGTGTTTGGGAATGAAATATTCATCACTAGTTTAAAATAATCTAAAACCACATCAAACGTATCGTCAGTTCCATTGATTTTTTCATGCAACACGTTTACGTCGTACGGCTTTTTAATTGGGATGAATTTTTGGTCCTAGTATTGGTCATACAGCAGCTGAATTCTGGAATTACTATTAAGAAGTGGTTTTCTAAAGCGTATTTAATGCTTAAAAATACTTGTAAATGTCAAATTATTTACAGATAGGACCCAGTAGGAAACCCATGTAACTTTTTATTGATGTTAACACTCACTTGTAGGGTGTTTACTTTGCTATTGCATAGTGATAATTACTGTACAGGAGCGGTAGGTATAATCAAAAGATTCAAAATGATTCTTGTTTCAATGTCAACACCTCAATATGAAGCTAAGGAGAGGATAGTAAACAATGTAATCAGTGCTCAATGAACACAAAACCCATTTAACCACACTGGGAAAAGGAAAAGAAAACTGAACTATGTAAAATTTTTAAGAACTATGATCTTTATACTCGTATGTAGATTTTAAAATTTCACTGAACACATACTATGATAGTGGTTATCAAAACAACTAGTAGTATTTTGGCAAGTACGTCTTAGGACTTAAAAAAACGGATGATTGACATGATGAATACAGCTTAGCTGTGGAAACAAACTCTTTACTGTTCATCTTTGTATTACAGGGAGATTGGTTCAACTTTTTACTATGTTAAAAGCATCGACTAATCTATGCTAATACTTACACAAAAAGAGGGTGCTGTTAGAGGTATGAGGGCGGTTATCACTTCCCGGTTGCCCACACCGAGGAAGGGTTCTTCTGGAAGTACCTGAAAAAGAAATTGGATTGAAGGTAGTCTCAGTGACCTGAGAGCGTGACCGCAGTGCCCAAGGGACAACTGCTTGAGGCCGTAAGCTACTAGTATTTGACCACAGATGCCTTAGAAATATTGCTGGCGTCTGCTGGGATCACCGGGTAAGTAATAGTGAGGTTAGACGCAGGGTATTAGGAAATGATGGTAAATCAGTTGATTATGAATCTTCATCGACTGAGATGGTTGGGCCACGTGTTACGTATGCCTGAACACCGATTACCGCGACGTGCAATGCTAACCGGTGTAGGGGATGGTTGGAAGAAAGTTAGGGGCGGCCAAACCAAAACGTGGCATCAGTGCCTGAAGTCACTAACTTCTAGTCTGAGCCACGTTGGCAGATGCAGACTACTTGGTTGGGGTCCGCGTGACTATCGTAACTATTGGTTGGAGACTCTTGGTGACATGGCTCAGAATCGATCACAATGGAGTCGGTGAGTACACTCCCTGTCTTCCCTTAAACTAAGAGATTAAAATCACTTCATATCTTTCTTTCTACGAACCAATTCTTTCTTCTTGTACTATATCTCTATATGCAATCTTCCTCTTATTTATTACCACCTTTGACCTGACCACTGCTATGAATCCGGTGTTCATCTTGTTGTGCTGATGCGGTATGGCAACCTGGACCGATGCACATATGTGCCTGGTCCTACGTTGTAGCTGACTGACTGACTGACTTACACAAAAAGCATTAAAACTCGAAAAAAAAAAATAACTAAGTGGATTTTGACATGAATAAGGTAAACTATTAGTTAACTGCTACATGAAATCTACAAATACATAATATCCATCAAATTGAAACGCCAACAGTCGTTGTACCATACCAGTTGCAACACGATATAACACGTACGTGTATATTAAGAAAATAAAACGTACGGTAATATATTTTTATCAAATATCTCAAAGTTATGTATGTTATATTTAGACGAGAAACTCAATCGATTTAATGATATGTGGGACCCGAAAAATTATGGTTGACTGAGAACTTAATGTGTAGCGTAAAAGGTAGCTTACATATCATTCTGTGTAACTCCTGTTAATAAGTTAACATATTTAAATTACAAGCAAAAAAGACGCGTTTTGATTGATCAATGATTTCTTCATTTGATCTTTTCCAAACAAAAAGGTCACAGAAAATCGCACAATGGTGATCCAACAAAACATAACGAATCAAATGAACCACAGAGGGTTATTCCTGTAAGCGTAATGGATATACAAAAGATAATGAAGTCGCATAATCCTCCTAATCGAATTACGACCTTCATTTCATGATACAAAATCTACTAATTGGGGGTTTTTGTATAATTTTACAGCATAATGTCTATATTTTGTTAATAAAGACAAACTGCAATCTGTAGTAATATATTTCGCATAACCCAGATGAAAAACACTAATATCGATCTGAATGTGATTTCCATACCACGGTGGAACTCAAGTTTCTTTTCAATTTCAACCATTAACTCGAAGAATATCAGCTTGCTAATCAGGGTTATCAGAGCTTTGAATAACCAGTTAGTCAATAAAAAATCTAAGTAGACAAATAATAGTAGCATATAGTGCAAATATATGCGATTTCCAACTAAATTAAGTGAATTGTAAAACAACTCAGCAATTAACACTGACGGCTATTTCATTAATCTAAAACGATATATTTATGTAAACCTGCTATGTCAGGATAAATATTAAGCAGTTGAAATTTTGGAACAACCCTATATGAATTTATTGTTCATATTTATGTTGTATAGTTTTATTAAGTACTTAGACTATTATATTTTTGTATTCCTCTACTTGTAAGCTTTTGTTTGATGCATAGACTATTGTTGAATGTTTTACCTTTTCCAAATTATTGTAATTTTATTACAGGCCTGTCATTCAGCCAATATTGTAATTCCTTAAGTCTGTTGATATGTGATCAAGATTTTGCTCTAGATTATCGTATGAGTGATTCATAAATCCGAACTGTATAATTAGACGCTATCCGCTTACTAAGTTGTTTTCGATTCTGATAATCGAGCGACGGAGCGAGTGTCGGTAACTGCATTATGGACCAATAGTCATTAATGTTACTCTCGACTGTTATCTTACATTTATCGTGCCATTGAGTAGCTGGTCATTGGTACTAATTAGATAGGCAATCTAGGCGACCTAATTAATGCTCGGACTAGATCAATACGACTGCCCTCTTGTCTTACAGTCCGATCCCACGGGCGCCAAATAACTAAACAAGAAAATTTGTTTATTTTCACCGGCACATTAAAACCAGAAATGAAATTTTCTCAAGCAGTACAGGTAATCATGTGTATGTATGCATTTAATTTTATAAAAGAAAGTCTTACTTTCATTGAAAGATGACGTGAACAAAATCCACGTCGTTGAGATTCTTTGGTACAACCCTCGCGACTACATAAACGGCGCCACTGTTTTCCATTGAATTTTTTCCTTACACCATTAGGTGTTTTGACTACATCTCCCTTAAAATTGCACAAGTTAGAAATAGATAAGATGAAGGAAGTTATCGATAGTAGACCAAATACAATTTATTCAATTTATGATGATTATTGTTAAATATTATTAGATAGTATTTATCACTATCACTTATTTTCCATTTAATTTACTCAGAATTAACTTTTATCTGATTAGGTGAATGTAATCAATAAAGAATTAAACATATTAGTAAATGGTTTAATTTTTCCTATTGAATTTTACGAAGTGTACTTTGTCTTATGTATTATCGACTGCTATTTAGTCCAATTAATTGTTTAGGATTTACTTGCGCTTATCATCAACAAAATATTGAGATCTTTTAAAAACCACTGGTGAAGACAACCTTCTAACTTTGACTGGTTATGAATGTAAGTGTCCCGGAATCGCATCGATTGCCCGACTGTTGCTGTTACCATGACGTGGTAGCCGGGCTTCCCTATCGTGATGAACCAATCGAGCTATACAATACAGTGTTCGAACACCGGAGTGAACACCAACCGGGGATTCAGGGACATCTAACTGATGAGTCCTACAAAAGAAGGAACGCGGGTCCTGGATTCCACAGCCAATAGCCATCCAAATCTGCTTATAATTCTAACTCGTGTCAAAGTGGACTTCAAACTAAACACTAATACTACTTATTTTAAGTTATCAGGTGTTTCAACTGATATATTAGATCTCATACAACTCATTCTATCTAGTGACACAATTGTGTGGTCAGCTTTGAGCTACACTTTATTTGCATTATGGCTATTAATCATATCAAGTGTGTGTGGGGAGCCGAACCATGCAACACATTGCTTAGAAGTCAACTTCGTTAATATTCATTCTGTTTAATGTTTCTTGATTTCAAACTTAGCCTTATGACCTAGTTGAAATCTTAAAGCACATCGGAAAAGTATGACAAAACGGAAAACAAATTATCTCCCGATCGTTGCTGCTACCTTGATGTGGTGCTCGGGCTTGCCTATCGTAAAGAACCAATCGAGCTATACTGGCTGGAACAATCGTTCCTCAAGGTTCTACTATGCCAGGCAGGGCAGTTGAAGAGCGGTAAGACTAAACGCAGCAAACTCAAGGTCCGAGGGCGAAGTCGTACTGCTGGCTGTACAGAGGTGTGACGGCAATAAGGTGTTCCCCTCAGACAACCAGCATAATAGTGATGCTGCCTTCCTACAAGAAAGAGTGGGGTTAGAAAAGTGGACCCTAAAAAGACACATTTTGCCTCATCCGACAGATTTCCGTCTCCGGCGGTAAGGTCCCAACAAGTACGGAGCTAACATGAAAACTACCCACACAAAAGTCGTATGTGACCGTCACTATGGCTACATCTAAACCGATTTTCTTCTCAGGTACCTCCAGGGGAAGTAATAACCGCCCTCATACCTCTAACAACACTCAAGATCACTGTATTCATAATCAACCTCCCTCTTCAATTCCTATTATTCCTCCCACGTCAACTTTCGCCTTTAAACTTCCTCTTTTGACTTCCTCCTCAAGTGTCACCATGACCAACGATTCTAGTGAGCGAAACACTGTCCCAAGTCTATTGAAACCTTACTCCAAACTAAACATTGAAGCCCTCAACGTACGCACCCTATTTCAAAACGGTCAGCAGGTCTCCTTGGCTAAAACCCTAGAATCTCGTTTCGCCGAAACACGCATACAAGATCCTAGTGTGGTCATTCACTCGACATCATCTCGGCAAAAAGGAGAGCCAACGAGATACATCCTCCGTGTATCTGGCGACCCGATGGCTAGATGTAGGCATAGCACGAGGGCATAACAAGCACTATTAGACTGGATCCCTGTTAACAGCCGTCAATGTACTGATTAGTAAAACGGCTCTGTAAGAACTCGGAAGGATAGGGATACACGTCATTGAATTTTCGTCGTTTCTGCCAATATTTAGCTAAAATCTGGCAACATGATGAAGAGCGAAAACAAATCAGATCTATGTTAAGCCAAAGTCTAAGGAACGACCGTGAGAAGTGGATGGCACCGAAAGCCAACTAGATGGGAAAGGTGGCGGCTAGCAGGCAACACAAGACAGCTCTACAGACCAATAAAAGAAACTGGAATTAATAAGTCAAGTGTGAGTGAAACTGTCTCGGAAAAAGACGACACTTATCTTCTCCCAGTCCAGACATTTAGAACGATGGGCGGAACATTTTAAGGAGCAGTTCAGCTGGCCTTCAGCTACTACACAACTACCCATCATTCACAAACAGCCTGAATGGAACATTGAAGTAGGTCTCCCGACTCTATCTGAAGTATAAAAGGCTATAATTAATCTGAAACGAGGAAGAGCAGCTGGTCCAGATGGATTGGCTTCAGAGGTCTTTAAGGATGGTGGTCCAATTTTAGCGATTAGGTTGACTAATACTTTAGCTAAACTCTGGGAGTTGGACGTAATCTCATCTTACTGGTCACAATCACTTATCGTCCCAATACATAAGAAAGGGTCAAAATCATCCTGTGATAACCATAGAGGGATTAGTTTGACTAACATAGCATCCAAAATACTAGCCTCAATTGTTATCGGACGCCTAACTAAAACTCATGAACTGCAAACACGAGAAAACCAGGCTGGCTTCAGACCTGGTCGTGGCTGCATTGGCTACATATTCACCATTTGTCAGGTTCTGGAACACAGGCATTCTTATCGGCGCTCAACAATTATAGTTTTTCTTGACCAAAATGCAGCATTTAACTTTGTAGACCGAGTTTTATTTATTTATGTAAACATAAACATTAGTACAAAGAGGTATCGAATAGATATGCGCCACACAAGCCATTCGATTTATGTGAGGGCTGGAATGGTGTCCGGGTTCCCGAACCGGAGCAGGTCGTTTTCTTAAAGGGCCACACCCTGAACCTTTGGCCTGAAGGTCTAATCAACAAGGCAGTGGAGCGACGCCAGGAGAGGCAGTCCTATGGTAGCCGGTCACTAAAAATAGATTCATACGCCATGTTTCCTTAGGATCCTTGTGCCCGTGTACACCAATAGCTTGTAATCATTGTTTTCCAACTCCCCTAGGTGGATCCTACGTATTCACTAACCCGGTTAAAACGCCGGCCATTCGCTTTCCATCCTCTTGATTTCGTAAACAACATCCCCGCCACGAGAAGGCAGTGAATAGGACTTCCCTGGTAGCGACTGTATACGCGTGGCCATTTGAGAGTATTTAGAGAGGGAGAGCTAACTCTCCACACCCTCGGCCGTACCAGGGCATTTGGGGGTATGCAGTGAGTACACAAGTGAAGACATATTACAATGTGTCATTTATAGACATTAGATTTTCTTAAATTACTGACCATCATTTGTGGTACGGTAGTTGTGAAATCTTCTAATGTCTGTAGGTAAAACGTAACACATTCTAAAATTATTCTTGTTATTAATACGAATATTATAAATGTTCATGAAATTGTGGTCGTGATTTCCAAAAATGAGACATTTGAGTTGACCGACTCATACAAAAATTAGGTTAGACAGAATCTTTAAATGCTAGAGCCAAGAACAAGTAGCCTTTTTAATTTAGAACAGCAGTTACCCATAATAAGTTTATGAGTAGTAACTGAACCTATATATGATCAAAACAGCACATATACTAATCACGTAGAAGCATTTTAAGAGATTGAGGTTTTTTATTTGAAAAAAAACACCGACTACATTGACAATTACCATAGTGTTAACAAGTAAAAGTTTTGACGATATCATAGAATTAGAGTTCGGTGAGGAAAACGTTCGGTACAATGGAGAACCAAGGAATTTCCAAAACGACATTGATGGTAAATTGGAGAACAATGATTATATTTGGCAACCCTACTTAACACCACAGCTAATTTTAAACAATGAAATTAAGTGGCAGTGTGTCCGTGTTTTACCCTAAAGAGTTCGTACATAGAGCTTTTTGGAATATAAACAAAACTTCCAGACGCATTATTTAATCTACATCATTGTACTGCACAGTAAATCAAATGTAGACTGAATGTCAAAAAATTTGATGATTGTTGATCTGGAATATTTATAGTAACGTGAAAGTGCTTGGCGAAGAGAAAAAATATGGTTTTGAACTTAATCAGTCACAGTAAAATATAAAATGATGGTTTCACAGAAAAATGGAAGTTTCTTATTAGGAGAAATCTGTGCAAACGTCGATACAACTTGTAAACGACCAACCATTAGCTAAATAATCGTTCCAGTAGTTAATTAATCAAAACTATCATCACACTTTCTAAAGACAATTTGTTTCCAAAAAGGCAAAAAGCGACAGTAATAAAAGTGATAGTTTGGAGAGAAACTATTATTATTAAAGGTTATTATTCGTTGATAAGTAAATTCTATATAAGTCAACACAGTAAGCACGGGTTAGTTAATATAGTGTTACCAAATCAAAGGTGAGAGGAGTTTTAAATTAACAGTAAGATGAGTAAAAGCAAGTCAGGGACGGAAAACCTAAAAAACGTTGTGTATCGGTCTAAGTGTTTATTTATTTATTTATTTGAACACATAAATACTGGTACAAGGAGGCACCAAATACATATGCGCCACACAAATCTCATTTGATATGTGTGAGGGCTGTGGTACTGCCCGGGTGCCGAAACCGAAGCAGGTGGTTTTCTTAGGGGGCCACACCCGGAGCCTTCGACCTAAAGGTCTGATCCACAAGGCAGTGAAGCATCGTTAGGAGATGAAGTCCCATGGTATCCGATGACCAACGATCTGTTCATACGCCAATTTTTCCCTCATGGTACTGGAGCCCATGTGCATCATTGGTTTAGAATAAGGGTTTTCCAACTCCCCTAGGTGGACTCTCCGTGTCCACCACCACAAGGTGAAGGACTGGTAGTGTTTTGAGTCCTAAACTACGGTGATATTTGGGTCAACGGGGTCGTGAATCTATGCTGGTTGATGAATGTTTTGTGTTGAGTATCTTTAATCACTACCTAACTCAATGAGATGCCTTTTAAGGTGGGGTTGAGTTTGGAGAAGCTACATGTCACAAGACCAAAGTGGTTCATAAGCTCAACAACATTTGGGGTAAATCATCTGGATGAGATTTTTATCAGGCAGAATGATAAGAACCAGATATAAAAGACCCTATATGGAAGGGCTCTGAATCGATTGTGAAGGGGTCAAATGTACTGTCTTTATGAGCTTGAACATTCTGATATTTAACATATACCCTCGTCTTTTGACTCAAATAATTACTGTTTATGATACGAAGTGTGCTTGCTTAAACCCATAGTTTTTTTTAGTGTTCAACGTCGATACGTTCACACAGGGTCTAATAATCATCATTTTTAGTAACCTTAAAGATTACTAGATATTGGCAAGAAATACTATCTAAGTGTGCAGAACTGACAGTGAGTATCTTCATCTAGCAAGCTGCTATCAAACAATCAAACTATCAAAACTTACAGGAGTTATTTATGATGAAAAATTCGGGCTTACTTTCTTAAATCTTTGTTGCATATTTACAGCTGTCAATGCGGCTGCAATCGAAGACCCACTTGCACCGGGTGAAATCCACTTAGAATTGGGTGGACAGAATTTTCCGGGATTTAACAAAAGAGATGCATTAGCCAACGGGATAACAGTGGAAGTTGAAGATGGAGAACTTTGGTACAAGCAATTTTTGTTCAACTCCATATCAGAATTTGGCATCTCTACATTGTTATAACCACTAATGCCGCAAATGCTGACAGTATTTGTAATAGTTGGAAAAAATGAACTAGTTTCAGAATTACAAGTAGCTATAGAGAAAGAAGAGATTTGAGATTCGAGAGTGCTTGAAGTTGTTGGATCCTTATTTTGCATTACAAGTATGTCCGAAGTACGCTTTTTTAGTCTTCGCCAGTGAGAGGGTGACTGATCTGTATGTGGAGTTAAATCTAATCTAGATGCCGATTGTATTGGGCACAAAGAACTGTTGTTGTTGTTGTCATCATAACATGTAGATAGAGTTGGAGCATTTAGTACTGACTTAGGACTTGTATCGGCAAAACAGACATTGTCTTTACAGAGTGGAGAGTCTAAAAATTATGGAAAAGCAGAAATAATTGTATTCACAATCGAAATAAACAGAAAAAAAAGATGAACAAATTTTTACAATATTGACATCCTCAACGAATAAATCTTAATAAGCATAAAATTCATTAGATAGCTTATATTAATAGAGTAAACCTGCTGAGTCAATATTACGGAAAACTTCGGTTAATTGTCATATTGGCTTTGCAAAATAAATACATAAACGGTCGACTTTTATTTACGTAGATGGATAGGTTGTAGCAGATCAGAGCAACATTGAGGAGAATCTTGTGATCATATTTCTATCAAACTAGAGGTTTTATGAAATTTACAGTCATCGTATTCAAGGGATATATGACAAAAAAAATGGAAATATACACACAAAATAAACATGTGAGTTGCTCCTGATATACTGACCGGTTAACTAGAACAAAATAAACAAAGCAAGTAAAACATACTTTGACTATAGCAAATATCTGTAAAAATAGCTCAACTGGTGTATCAGTCGAATGATAACCAAGTCATAATAAATTAGTCCGAGTGTACTATTACGGTAATCTGTAGTAATATCTTTCAGCTCGAATTTTACCTTCAACGTAGATTACCAAAAAAATCCATTGCATAGAATAATTTAATTGGTTAACCATTTGTAATTAGTCTGCTTTTCGATATTACGATTGGACAATAAAATGCTGGAATCATGTGACATAAATACTAGTTATAAAACCCCTAGATTAATGGATATCGCTTTATTTTATTATGTTACGTACAATACGAAGATCATTACCACTGTCACACTTAAAATTCGGCCATTAAGCAGTCAGAAATGGCCTAGAAATAATCACATGACTTTTGTCTGGTAAAACTAACTAGGGACATGGATAAAACAAACTATAATTCGTTGGTGGAATTGATTTGTTTTATCCACCTATAATGCTATTCAGTGGATAAACAACTCGATATAAAAGTTTTCGATAAAAATTAATTTTGTGAGTATAGTCAAAACTATGTTGGTTATTCTTGGTTAGTTCTAACAGTTAGGTGATTTTTCTATGTGGCCTAAAAGGAAGGCAAACACCACCAATGGTTATAGTATGGCTGTACATTCACTAACTAAATGATTGATGACTACTATAATTCTTTATCGACCGAAGTGAGTGTGGTATGTGGTGTGCATTTCAGGTCGCCGCCCCTGACTCAGTAATTAAAATATATTAGAATTGGGATGTTTGAAGAGAGCTAACAGCAGCTAAACTGAGACATTTCATCAGTTCATGAAGTCACTGGCTATCGCTTTAAGATATTTTGGTGTGTTGACTACTTGATTAGAGCCCACATGATAATTATATTTAGTGGATGCATAACCTAGGTAACACAGCTTACAATCAGTTGCGGTGAATTCACACATTCATTGGCCACTTTCTTTTAGTTATTGAACTCAAATATCACTCTATTTCTCTACCTTTTTCAGCCTTTTAGAGCCGTATTTTCTATGTTTAGCTTTTTATTATTATCAACACTATCACTCTACTACTGTGTTTTGGAGATTTTTAATTTTTCTTCTACGTTGGTGGGATGAAAAGACTTAACTCTATACACATTTGGGCTGGATTCCTTATTGTTTATGACAAATTGAGATATACTGTGAGTTGTCTACTCAACAAAGATTTCATTGGAGTTACTTTCATTATTTTCTTACCTTATTTTGTCATAGATAGATACTCTTAGATATGATCCTTTCATCATGACTGACCTACCTGGGAACATTCTAATCAACTTTGAGTATTCAGATGTCATAGTTCCGTTTAGTGAAAAATAACGCTTATGGTGAGTGATACTGAAGTTCATTTTAGGGTATTACATGATAACAGTTAATTGGTTGATGAATGTCAATTACGTCCGGACTAATAGAAAAAACTTATTGATATCCTGAACACAAATATGACAAAACAATACTAATTTGAAACAAAATCCCAAACAAAAACGTTCCTAATGCATTCTCAAGGTTACGAAATGGGTCCCAAATGTCATAAATACGAAACTTTAAGTATAAATACAGTGAGATTAATATATTAACAGCCTGTAGTTATGTCCTTTTCTACCAAAGAATTCGTCAAACACAATGAACCCAAAGTGATCTACATACTGAAACAAGGATCGATGAACAGGTCAAGTAAATAAAACAATGAAAAATAATTACTTAGAGAGCTCCGTATACTCGGAACACAAAGGACTAAATGACTATGGTTAAATTCCGTGAAGTCTGGGTTATTCGTAAGAAGTGAAAAGTAGCCAACCACATCACAAATTATGTATAAGAGAAAGAATAATTTTAGCGAAAGGATTTATAAATTACAAGTGGAAAAAAAGGAATGACAAATGAGATAAACGACGTTGATTGCAAATTCTAGCTGAAGTACACGAATTTATGTAAATATAAAAGCAATTAGAGCATGTATCACAATGAAGCTGTGATATTCCATCCATTTAAGTGATTGAGATGTGTTGTGTATGCCTGATCACCGTGTACCATGATTTTCTATGGTGGGCAGGATTAGGTGCAGGAAATCTATCAATAAAGTCATGACTACAAATAAACAGATGAATTATCTTTTAACGCAACTTGTAAAATATTGTTCCTTTTATCTTAAAAATTTAAGTACTGACCCAAATGCTTCCTAATAGCTTATATTTCAGGTTACGATCCCAAGAATACTTATAACAATAGTCTATCTGTATTCAGTTATATTTCACATAAATATTTAGGGTGTTCCATCCAATGCTGAGAGTTAATTGAAGAGCGATCAAGTAGTTTCCCAAACAAATTTGAAAACAATATCTTAACTGAATATTTCCATCAAAATCTAATATACCCATCAAGTTACAAAACAGTTAGTCCAACAGAAAATCATTTTCACGAAGTTCATTTAGAATACTTCACAATCAAACATGAAACTGTGGGTCTGTAAGGTAACTTTATGTTTAGTATAGTAACAATAGTCGCTTTTGATCAGAAAAATTAACTACATAGTCTCAAATAAATAGTTGCGAAGGTATATTTATCTTCCTATCGATAATATCCTACGGGTATGTAAGATTTGTAGCCAAAATAAGTTAATCGGAATTCATTCAATTTTACTAACTCCTTGGTCTGGTCGGACTAGGTAAACCAAAAATATGTCTACCGTAGATTGAGTCAGACTCTATGTTATATTGATAACCAAATCCCGTCTTGATTAAAGCTGATTTTTTCCTTAAAGGCTAGATAGTTGGATCGGAGACTTTTACTAGTTATTCATGGGTTCTAAAGACTTTATTTCTAACAGTCAGCTACGAGTTCGAATTTTATTCAACAGTTCTTAACTAATTAAACAAAGGTAATCTTACATGTCATTTGTAGCACAAGAAAGCCTAGTAAAATACATCTATATAACGGGAAAGATTCACGTCTCAGGAAGATGACTATTCATGAATTTTGTTTTCTGAGATTTAGTTGTAAAGTTATCAGTCTTATACTAAGCCACCATTTCAAGCTTCAGAAGAATATCAAATTGATTTCTCCTGGAAGGACAAAAACTGATTTGAATTTGGGTCATCTACTAGGGTGCTATCAATGAAACCTCGCATTAAGTTTGATGAAAAGAGTACTTGAAACGACTGTCTTGCCATTAAATTAAACAACTGGCAACATTGATCTGATTGTTAATCTTGTTTCCCAGAATACCAGCAACACTTATTAGATGACAGCAATTTATAGCCTACAAAACCTTGTAAACCGTAATAATGAAGTCCGAAACTTGCGAGTTTGCGAATGAAAGTGATGAAATATGATGTTCATGTGCAAACGCTAGTTCTCCTAAGTGAATATTAAGTATATTGGTGATATTGGTGACTTTTATCTTCGTGAACTGGCATTAAGAGTGACGATTAAATTTTCTTCACTCATACATGTTATATTCTCAGATTTGTAAATTTTGTAAAGAACCAGAAAAGAATGGGTTTTGAATATCAACACTGAGCACCACTACTTTCAGTCAAGATATGTCACTTTAAATGTGGATATAAAAGCAATAAACAGAAACAAATGAAAGTCACGTACTTTCGTTTTCAGTCTTTATAGAACATATGGAAGCGACTGTATCTCCAAAATTAATATTTCTTATCACCTGACCTCCATCGGTAAATTCATTCGTAGAAACAACTGTACTGGTTGGTCTTATGTCTGACGGTAAGGAGTTTGTGTCCATAACGTAGATTTGGAACTGACAGTAAACAAAAAAAACTAAAGCGAGCTGAAAAGATAGGTGTTGTAGACTCACAAGAAAAATAATGATATTCTACAGGAAAGTTAATTGAGTCTCAAAATGGACATGTCATTGTTTCCGTGGAAAACAATCCTAAAATTATCCATGCTCTATGGAAGACGCAGAACATATATGCAACAAGCCTAATATACAAATTATAATTATAATTACAATTTGTATTTTGAGGCACCATAGTGGATGTATTGAGTTTGCATTATGTGGTTATGCTTTCTCGGTTTCCATGAAAGATACACTGAATTTAACCTGTTTTCAAAATTAGCAGATGTCTACTTTTAGTTTTACATTTGGGGAATTATATGGTAAAGTCAATCAAGTCAAGTGGTATGTGGCATAACACAATTACGACAAAAACAGTTGAGGGCTGACATATGCACTTAAATTTTAGTATAAATGGATAATGATGTAACTATCAAAATTCAGTAACGAACGTACAGTCAAACCACTGAACTTACAAAAAGCACACGACCTTCGGAAACAAACTGAGAAACGAAATTGACCACAAAGACTATATTGCGATTGGTCCAATATACTTTAGGTCGATTCACAGTAATACATACAAAGTTTGGTATAATAAGCATCCGTTTCGCTGAAAATTGAACTTATTTACACACATAAAAATAAATATTTCTTTTAAATTTAGACTAAAGAAACACTTTACAACCCACTCACTCTTTATCCTCAATAATATAGAAGCAATTCTCAATCACCATCGTAGTCTTGAATAAATCCCTAAGATTTATGGTTCTGTAAGTCTCTGACATTGATGCTGACCTCATTAGCTTTGCTGAACACACCTAGCTGAAGGTACGCGGTCATACATCAACACCGGGTCTCGAGCGGGAACGCCATGCTACTCATTCTTTGTACCCACTAACCAACTCAGATTAAATGTTTTTCCACATATCGATAACTTTCCGAGTATACCTACATTTGTGACTTGTGATTTGACTGAGTTGGCTTACTTCGATTACACAGGTTGTGAGGTCAGTGAAATATCATTGAGTCCTGGCCAAATCACCCATCAGTTGGGTCAGTGAATGTCAGTCTTCAGCAATAAGGATAGCAGGTTGGTGAACCTGCGTTAATCCTGACAGATTGCTTTCCAGTGAAGGTTCAGCTTCTCCTTGAAAATATTCACTGATGGGGCTGATACCACTTGTTCGGGTAAGGCGTTACAATCATTGACTACTCGATGAGAAGAAGGGGACCCCACTTTAAGTTTGTGAACCTTGTTTCTATG